TCTCATTCAGTCTCCGCAAGGCAAGTGTATGGTTCTCTTACGCTGCTCGCCTGCTATCCTCTATCCTCCCTCTCCCTTTTCTCTCTCTTTCTCTGTCCTTTTCTCTTGCTCGGCTGCCGCTGTAATGCCTTCCATCCCCTCTCTCTAGTGCCCCTCTCCTCCTCTAGGCCAGACCAGACCAAGAACGTACTAGAGGCCGGCAAAGAAACCTGCAACCTATCATCCCCCACTACGCAATCTTCAACCAACCCCCACCACGCTCCCTCCCTCTAGAAGCCCTGTAACGTTATCCCATCTGTTTCCTATGCTGTTGACCCTCTGCCGCCTGCACTAATTGCAATTTCGCAGGGTAGCGAGGCCCATCCCTCTTTCAACAGTGTCTGACAGTTCTAATTTTCTAACCCCCCCCCCCCCCCCCCCCCCCCCGGTTTAATCTCTGTATGTACCATATTGTCTACAGTATATAGGCAAGACACAGCCGTATACGTGATGAAGTGATTAATCCACAGATCTAATCGCTATGTACAGTAATTGAGCAAGCCATCTTTTGATGGTGTAGTGCTACAGTACATTGATTCCCAATGGAATGCATTGACATTCCTAATTGGAATAGATCCGTTCCCAATGGAATAGATTGGAATTTTGATTGGAATAAATTGGCAACAAACACTTGAAAAGGGAGACATAGAGTAGTATTATATACTCAAACAAGCAACACAGTGAAGAAGAGTAGAGCATGTTTCAAATGAGTTTAGTTATTCCCCCAAGCTTTCGTACTCCCCTCCAAAAGCACCCTGCTCTATGTTCTCACCCCCATCAGAAAACTGACAAGATCTACAAATCAAAGATGTGGGAAAAAACGTCTCCACTCCCCACAGTATGACATCAAGCTGATCCATTTCCAGTCTTTACTGCCTGCTCTGCTCTGCTCTGTCACATTATTTAGGTCAACGGCACTGTAGGTCCAAGATAATCCCAAGATTGCTACTTATTTTAAGAAAGCAGAGAAGTTCAAGTTCACTTTGTGTGCGGGAGGTGCTAAAACTCTAAAAATGGATCAGGTTTGTTGTCCCAGGGGGCCCTAGCTGTCCTTGGATAGATGGCCCCTTCCCTACAGGCCTTAGGTCCTATCTCTAGGAGCCCCCCTCCCCATCCATCCCACCCCAGTACTATCACCGGCACTGGAGGATGAGAAGCACTGTGAAGGGATCCACTCCACTCGCTGCTCTAAGCCTTCTCCAGGCCGGGGTCTGAGCCCTGGACCCTGGCTGCTCGCTGCCCCACCACCTCTGCTTATGGCTTCTTAGGCTTTTTGCATGTCACCTCTGCTGGAGCCAAAAAGTAGGTTTTCTTTTATGGTATTATTGTTTGGATTTTGTTCTTTTGATTTTGTTCTTTCTTGATTTGGCTTTTTGGAGTTTCTTTTCTAAAGTACCATTTTGTAGTATTTAGAATATACAGTGTGTTTGTAGGCCTAGGTAGTAACCTAAAGAATGGATAGTATAGAGAGTATTAAACCCCGACTAGACGGACAGAAACTGAAAATATACCCTATGTAGAGCTAGGATATCTAACGATGGAGTCTAACGGTGAGCTAGTCACACAATGAGGGAGATAGGCCTTGGACCTATTCCCGCCATCACTAATTGGATATGACAGGGCTGTACCCAATGGAATTTGATCCCTTATCATACTGTGACTCCTCTTCACCTCAGCAAAAATATTTGACTGGATTCAAACTTTTGCGAATGCTTAACAATAACAGATTGTAGGCCTACCACCACGGGATTCGATGCAGAAGTGGAATGTGACTTAGAGGCGCAATATCCTCTTGCCATGTAGTTCTAGTCCTTTTTAAAGATATCTAGCTTTTGCTTGACTAGAGGCAAACGTGCATCCTAACCAAGATGGAATCCTTAATGGAATTACTGCAAGACTGTCTTATCAAGTAAACAATTTGACTTGTTCTCATAGTGTCAAAATGATTGAGGTGATAGAGACTATCTCATCATGAAGAAGCACATCCCTTTTAAGTCGCCTTGCTAGGCATATTATGAGATGTGAGACGTTGGTTGGCCTGTGCCAATGATTGTCTATTATATTGACAAGATAGTCAAGTGACCGCTCTCACAATGGAAATGCATGTCCTCAAAAATGGAAGGCAGGCGGGAGGAGACGAGATCAGGTGGGACCATTCTAGCCAATGAGAGGGCAGATAAGCGTGTGAACAACAGGCCATAAGAGATAGAGGACTCCTCTTTGACAGCATGGACAGCGCCATTGAGGCTATCTCCATTTTAAAGGAGTCAATCATGTGATGATTGGAGCAGTTGCTTGGGACATCTTGCGACTACGTATGTATGCCCCCCGCCCCAGGATGCCCGTGGCACTGTGTCATGTGAGGGGGATCCTTGTCCTAGTCCAACTCTAATCTCCATTTTAAAGCAGTTAATTTTCTTCATTGGCTAATTGCTCCCAACCCATCTGAATCCCCACCCAGTTGACTACTTTAAAATGGTGAAAGCCCTCAATGGCAATGTCCTTGCTAAAACGGGTTATATCCATGATGAGTCCTCATTCCATCTCTATGACAACAGGCACAATGGCGATATAGTTGTTCTTTTCAAAGTTACCGAAATGCCATTCACTTATATCAGTGCATTCGTAAAAACCTAACATTATAAAACGTATATTCTGTCAAATAAGCCTCGCGTAGCAAATTAGAAATTAAATTTTTTGTTGACCAAACTCGACACTGTCATTGACCTCCATACAAAAATTCCTCACTTCGTGGGCTTATTTTCGTGGACAGATTTTGGGAGGAGTAAAACCTCTCGCTTCGCCTCTTCCTCTCTGCTCAATAGTCCATTAAAACAGGGATTAGTAATGAAAGTGTCCCTTTTTGATGCCCACACACTTTAACACTCTCAGTCAACTCCAATGACTGTGGGGAGTAGATTGCGTAAGAGGAGTGAGGCGTGGAAATACAGTGATGCTCTCAGTTGAGGATGAATGAGTATTACAAAACAGTTCAAGTGGGTGACAATAGATAAAACTCCCCTTTTGGCAGTGTTTCTTATGAAGTGTTTTGGGTCGTGTTATTAGTGATTTACAAAATACTACATTGCTTTCTGCTAGATAGAAAGTCCATTCGTGTATGTGGCCTAGTGTGAACAATGCATAATGGCCCTCAATGGGAGGGGAAGGCGGGGGTCCAGACCAAGACAAAGTTCACCAGTGAGGTGTGGACCGATGAACAACATGTCCCCAGTACTTTGTTTTAGGTTTTCTGCAGGGTCACGCTGACTCTGGCTCATACCAACTTACCATGACAAAATACTACAGATAACTCGTTGATGTAAGCTGTTGGGTTGGCTAGTTTATGAAATGTACAGTAACATTTAACATGAATTGAAAACACCATTGATTTATTCTTCTTTCATACTTTTTAGACTAATTCGTATAAATGCCCAGTCTGTTTTTTATAGCTGCCAATTCTCCATCATGTTCGCTTGTTCGCTCGGTGATGAAAATGACAGGGGGGACCATCGGACTGAAAAGGGATTATGTGATTATTGCGGACTATGTATGTATGACCCCCCCCCTGCCCCAGGATGCCCGTGGCACTCTGTCATGGGAGGGGGATCCTCGTCCCAGTCCAATTCTAATGTCACCTCAGCTGTGGCACGAGGAAATGGCTGCGGGTTAGCTCGCTTAGTGACGTGATTGACAGACAGCAGCACAGGGGGGACATCCATTATTTAGGAAGCCTCCCCACACCAGGGACATTGTCCAGCTTTTTATCTGTATTTTTCTTACTTTTAATCCTACCCTGTGATGTCACAGAGAAGCATTTTTTTTAGGACCGTTCTCATGTTTTTAACCACAGATCATAGAAACGTGCCATTTTCACAAATCTAGACACTGGTATTGTGCTGGAGATCATGAATAGTGGCGGAATTGTGGCGGAATTGCCCTTAAAAAATCTCTTCCTCTGAGCAACTGTATTAGTATAATATAATTTCCCAATTTTTGGGGAGCATACAATATAGCTCAGTATTTTAATTATTTATTCTATAGTATTTTTTTGCTCATCTTTATCAAGGGTGCCAATAATGATGGAACCCACTGTATGTGTTAATTAGACCATTATGGAAATAATGTAATATCATTGAACTATTTTATACCAGGCTGCGGTCACTTGACCCTAGTCTCTGGCCCATAAATGGCATTGGGAGTTAAAACAGGGAGCGTTTATCCTATGCGACCTTTGCTACCAGACTTGTCTTCTAGGCATGTTTTTATATCTCGTCCCCATTGTGTCACATTCAGTTCTATGATATCATCCCTGTAGTCTTCTTGTTAGTCTTCTGGAGATGTGAAGTGACTGCTCAACGGTTCTCATGAGATCGTTGATATAACCCAGATAGCGGAAGGAAGGATGAGGGAAGAAGATTAAGGGTATTAACCAATCTGTTTCTTCAGATGTGATAACATTGGGTGGTGAGTTGATAGGGCTGCCAGATAAACCGAGCGGTTTGTTTTTTCATTAATAAAGTGTCAAGTATTTTGTATTTTGGTTAACAAACCCCAGCCATATTCTGTGCAGCTGGAAATATATTAATATGCATAGCAAAAAATATGTGATCGTAATTTAGATAAATGCATATACAACCACAGGGCACACAGTTGTATAACAGTATTGTTTATTTATGCAATTTTGTTATTTTGTTTGGAGCTTCTTCATTTCGACCATGCAAGACATTTCGAACGTTGCCTCATTGAAAATGCTCTTCAATGGCAACAACTTGAGATGTTAAGTCAGCATGCCGACTGACACACCCTCATCCATTACTGCAGTTATACTGTGCCATGCAATGCATGACTGCTTGGGCTGCAACAAAATGGCCTCCGCCGAATATAAGTGCATGGGAGTTTGAGTGTATCTGTGATTTTTATTCCCTCCCCCTTTCTCCCCCTTCCCCTCCCTACCTCTGTGCATGGCCGATGCAGACAAAATAGTGGTGCTGGGTTCTGACAAGCCCTCCTCAGAAGCCGTGGCCACCTCCCTTCGCTTCGCCGGTCCTTCTCAGTCCGGCTCGTTTTCGCCCGCTAACTATGGGAGCGAAGCGTCATCGGGTCCGTCTGATGGAAAGCCAGATTCACCAATCGTGACGTCCCCCGTGTCTGAAAGGATAAAGGCACTGGAGGCCCTGGCAGCAAAGAAGGAGCCCGAGCCCAAGACCGATGGAGGCTTGCCTCACTTCAAAGAGCGCCACTATGAAAAGTCTCCTACTGAGGCGCCGGCAGAGACCACCTCACCCTTCCAGAAAAAAGGAGCCTCCACTGATCAGGATTCACCAGAATCTCCATTTGAGGTCCTGGGAGAAGCACGGCAAGGGAGTGAGTTTGAAGATACTGCAGAGTGGATGAGAGCTCACTTACCCCCTGTGCCTGACTTTGAGGACAAAGTAGATTTAAGCAAAGATGCTCTTGTATTAGAGAAGGATGGCAAATCCCAGGAGATAAAAGGGGCAGATAAAGTGGTAGCTGATGTTCCAGAGGCGTTTGCGTGTGTCCCTGATGCTTTCATGGACTCTCCCATCGAAGGGCCTAAACTTAAAAATGTGTTCAAAGACCCAGCGCAGCAGTCTAGCGTTGAGGAAGAATCTGAATTTGACCTGAGCTTCCTACCTACAGCGTACATGACAGACACCCAAGGCCCCCCTGACCTTGACTCAGAGCTCCCTGCCTCTCCTGCCCCTCCTTCTGGTTTTGACTCTCCCCCTCAACCCCCTCCTTCTGACTCTAACGAGAAGGACTCGAAGACCAAGCAGGCCCCATGGGGTGGTGAGGTAGTCGAAGTCGACAGCTCAGGAGACTCTGATGACACTGTCATTGAGGACGCAGCCTCCATCCTTGCTCCCTCCATCCCTGCGCCCTCTTTGACAAGCGATACTGCACCTGCCCCCAACCCATCTGTTCCCTCTCTCCCTACTGAAGAAAAGGAAACCCCGCCAGCAAAGCAGCCAATGCGGGTCCCTACCATCAATGTTATTGAGACAGACGAGCCGAATTACAGCGATGATGAGATGGAGATGGAAGTGGAGGAGGAGGAAGAATGTTCTGAAGTTGTGAAAGAGACACCAAAAATCCCTGAGCCACAACCAGATGTAACTAAAAAGGAATCGTCCAATATTCCCCCCTTAGAATATGAGGGTTACTCTCCTCCCTCCTCTCCTGTCGACTCTGATGCTGAATACTCACCTAAACACAAGATCTTGAAATCTGAATGCGATACAGATAACCAAAAGACCACAGCATCTAATGATGGGATGCAAAGTGCTGCTGTGTCAAAGAGCTCAACTTATGAGGTGTCACAAGCTCAGAAAGTGGAGTCTGACAAATCAGAGACCCCCAATGAGTCTAATGAAAAGTCTTCCCCATCCACTGCCAAACCTTCTGAGAAAACCGCAGAGAACATTTCAGACTTTCCAGACTATGATGACGATGACTGGTCAACTGACGCACAAGATATCTTGGTAAAGTCTAGCTCTGCTAACGTTACTGTTCAGGATCCTCCACTTCACCCCATATCCAAGTTTGAAGAGAAGCCCATGTCTGATATTAAAGAGGATAATATGCAGACAGTTGAGTTTTCAAAATCCAACTACATGCAGGATGACACAATCCGTAAATCCGACAGACAATCTTTTGAGGATGAAGATGCACTGCCACCCACGGATGACACCATTGACGATAAAGAGCTGAACTTTGACAATGTACCAGAGCCTTCTCCCTCCGATCCAACCTCTCCGATCCATATCGAAACACTACTCCCTCAAAACAATGCAACTACCATGATCTCAGATTTGGAGAATATCACCTCGATGGATGAAGAATCCTTCCCCAAGCCAGTCGGGGGCCAGCCTTCTCCCAGGAAGTTTCCCAAAGATCCATTCTCCTCTTTCCAGAGCGAACCGCCTGGTAACACCATGGAGCCCAAGACTGAGAAGAAACCTAACGATGACATCATGGCAGATAGCATGGTCAACAGCAAGACTCTCCCACCACAGGAAGCTGGGTTGGAGAAGGACAGTAAAGCAGGACACCATTCACCAGACAATACCAGTGACCCAGAAAGCATTGAGCCGGACTGCTCTGTCTCTGGTGCCACAGACAGCTTCGTCGAGTTCATGAGGGAGTGCCTGAAGTCACGACAGGACGAAGATCCAGAAGACCTCCGTCAAGGTCTCACAGGCAAGGATGCGTGTCTTCAAACGGGCACTCCTCCCTCCCAGTCCACACCAACCATGGTTATGGATCTGGAGCAGGAACGCCTCACTATCAAAGCCCTTAAAGAGTTAGGCAGCAGCCAAGAAGAGGAGGATGACCTTCAGTCTAGTATCAAGGCCTCTGAAAAATCCCAGTCTTCCTTCACCTCAACAACCTCCGACCATCCTTCTCCCCAAAACAAACCTGCGTCCGACAGCGCGTATTCCAAAGAGGTAGAGGCCATCGACGTGTGGGTGGCCGAGGCCTACCACCTTGCAGAGCATGTCTTGGCAGCAATACTAACGCACTTGTCAGGTAACATGAATTCCCTCTGGGCTCTATGCCTGCTAACCTCACGCAAGCATAGCACAATGACCACACTCTTCCCCCCTCTCACTTGCACCTTTCTCCCAGCTTGTGGTCCTCCTATTCAAAGTGTGAGTACACTAACTATATAACACATGGTTGCATGTGTCTGAGAATCTGGATAACACCATTTAGATTTTTAAATTTTTTCTGATACAGTATTACTTATGTGCCAGACTGAAATCTGGCTCTTACAGTCAAGCCTTCTGAAGGTCTCCACGTTCACATACCGATTGCAGTTGTCACATAAGTAAAGGGTCAAACTATATTGTACTGGGTGGTGTGTGTGAACATGTCAGCTGTATGTATTCTAAAACGATCCCCTCCCTGTTTGAGGCTTTGACCCTGTCCTACCCCCCCCCCCCCCCCCCCCCCTCCCCACTACTTGGTAGTAATCATGGTCGGACAGTGGGTGGTGGGGAGTTCAAACATGGTGTTCTGGTGTCTGCTTGCAATGCCCCTGGATGTCAGGTGGAACAGTCGATCCACCAGTGTTGGGTTTCTGCTTTGGTGCAACTTTCCACACTACACTGCACTTACACAGGACAGGCGACGATCATTCCAGAGACGCATTTAAGGCGCAGACTTTACTTAACCTTTTATGATGGTCATCATTCATTATTATCGACGAGCTGGATTGGATGTTACAAAAGCATGACCAGACGCCCTAGAGGAACTGCAAAAAATAATAGCTTAATCGTGCTTTGTCCAACTCCTCTGACTAACGTTGCCATGCCAGTGTGAGTTGGCAAAAGCACATACAGATGGGACCAGGCTAGGGGGCATTGCTCCTCTTATTTTGTGTGACAAATGTCACTAGGCTCAGAGGCAGAGTGCCAACCACAGTAATTAGCTAGATGTCATAAGAGCTTTTAGTGCCCTTTTCGTCATCTCCTCTTGAGCCTTGTCACAGCCCTCCCACCCTCCCTAGAATATTAGATTTTTCTTGTGACCTTCCTTGATTTTAATGGTGCAAAGGACACAGTAAATACACGTTATATACACTGAACAAAAATAAAACGCAACATGTAAAGTGTTGGTCCCATGTTTCATGATCTGAAATAAAATATCCCAGAAATCTTCCATACGCACAAAAAGCTTATTTCTCTCAAATGTTGTGAACAAATTTGTTTACATCCCTGTTAGTGAGCATTTCTCCTTTGCCAAGATAATCCATCCATCTGACAAGTTTTGCATATAAAGAAGCTGATTAAACAGCATGATCATTACACAGGTGCACCTTGTGCTGGGGACAATAAAAGGCCACTCTAAAATGAGCAGTTTTGTCACAACACAATGTCACAAATGTCTCAAGTTTTGAGGAAGCGTGCAATTGGCATGCTGACTGCAGGAATGTCCACCAGAGCTGTTGCCAGATAATTGAATGTTCATTTCTCTACCATAATCTGCCTCCAATGTCGTTTTGGAGAATTTGGCAGTACTTCCAACCGGCGTCACAACCGCAGACCATGTGTAACCACGCCAGCCCAGGACCTCCACATCCGGCTTCTTCACCTGCGGGATTGTCTGAGACCAGCCACCCAGACAGCTGAAGAAACTGTCTGTTTGCACAAACAAAGAATTTCTGCACAAACTGTCAGAAACCGTTTCAGGGAAGCTCATCTGCATGCTCGTCATCTTCACCAGGGACTTCACCTGACTGCAGTTCAGCGTCGTAACCGACTTCAGTGAGCAAATGCTCACCATCGATGGCCACTTGCAAGCTGGAGACGTGTATTCTTCTCTTGGATGAATCCCAGTTTCAACTGTACCGGGCAGATTGCAAACGGCGTGTATGGCGGTGTGTGGGCGAGCGGTTTGCTGATGTCAAAGTTGTGAGCAGAGTGCCCCATGGTGTCGGTGGGGTTATGGTATGGGCAGGCATAAGCTACGGACAACAAACACAATTGTATATGGCAATTTGAATGCACAGAGATACCGTGACGAGATCCTGAGGCCCGTTGTCGTGCCATTCATCCACAGCTATCACCTTATGTTTCAGCATGATAATGCACGTCCCCATGTCACAAGGATCTGTACACAATTCCTGGAAGCTGAAAATGTCCCAGTTCTTCCATGGCCTGCATACTCACCAGACATGTCACCCATTGAGCGTGTTTGGTATGCTCTGGATTTATGTGTACGACCACGTGTTCCAGTTCCCGCCAATATCCAGCAACTTCACACAGCCATTGAAGAGGAGTGGGACAACATTCCACAGGCCACAATCAACAGCCTGATCAACTCTGCGAAGGAGATTTGCCGCGCTGCATGAGGGAAATGGTGGTCACAACAGATACTGACTGGTTTTCTGTTCACGCCCCTACCTTTTTTTTTTTACCAACCGATGCAGTTCTGTATTCCCAGTCATGTGAAATCCATAGATTAGGGCCTAAGGAATTTTTTTCAATTGACTGATTTCCTTAAATGAACTGTAACTCTTTAAAATCTTTGAAATTGTTGCATGTTGCCTTTCTATTTTTGTTCAGTGTAAAAAGCTTGAATATGGCTCTTATCTGAGCTTCATCTAGTTTATATATCACATCTGCCAATATAACATGCCTTATCAATGCTGCCATTATTACCTACTGGCTTACAAGATGTTACATATACTCTAAAAACACACTAGGTCACAGCTTACTATACATTTTGTGTAATCGTCGTCTGTGATTTGATTTACCCCAAGGCAGAGTGGCCCTCTAATTCTAATTCACAGTGTAGAATTGAAGCAGATCAGCTCCCCCCAATAGGGGACCCCTTCCGATGCTATGCCCGCTCAGTGCAAACATGAAATCCAAACCTGACACACATATAAACTGGTATGCAGACAGGAGTGAAGGCAGGATGCCTGACGCATGGACTCAAACAAACACGTTCATGTGCTGCGAGCGTAACCTACACCACGGGCACGCTATGGAACTGTAGGTCGTCGCTGAGGCAACCAGTAACTAGGGGAAAGTGTACGCCATGCAGGAGTCGTGGAGGGAATTATAATGAAGTATTACAGTTAGCTACTGTTTGAGAGGTGCTTTAGGACAATGCATATAGATGGTGTAGGGCATATCTTCTAACATATCAGACAATAATGCACTATAAATTATTTTTACTAGTGGTTTCTGTATACCTAAAGACCAAAATTCAAGTAGCATAGCTTACATTTGGGGGGTTATTTCCCCTCAATCTGCTACAATCTGCTCTTTAAGTGCCCCGTTTCCCTCTTGAACCTTGTCCTTTCCCTCAGCCACCAACCATTCTATTTTAGTCATCCTTCCGCAGTGTTGCTGCCTCAACTCAGTGGGTAATTAGGCGGGGTATGTCTGGCTAGGTGAGTTAAGATTACTTTAGTGGGTGTAACTACCTGTTTTAGTTGGCTTGGCTCCATTGATAATGCAGCATGGTCATAACAGTTCTCCCTCAAAAGGTATGAATCAGTCATCCTCCCAAATAGGGTACACATTTAAACTGTGGCCAGAAAAAGCTCTTCTCTCTTGGGCTAGTTAGAATATCTTGACTTGCTGCCAGGCCTTTAAAGATCAGTTCAAATCTGGCAGTCCAATTGTAGTAGGAAGATTTGTGTTAATCCTGTGTGTGTGTGTGTGTGTGTGTGTGTCTTTAGACTAGGACTGGGAGGGATAGGGCGGGGACCAGCCAGGCATTGTCAGTCGGGAGGGAGTGGATCATGTGAATACTTGAATCAGACTTATCCACCCATGCCAATGTGTGTAATCACCTATGGTATTTGACTTGCTTAATGAAGCTTTAGAAGCTGGTTTAGCTTTGCAGGAGTAAAACATTGAAATCTGTTGCCAGGCTATGTTGTAATGGGGTCACACACATTGACGCAAATAGACGCGCGCGCACACACACACCCACACACTGGCAATGTGGTGTGGTGCCTGTACCTTTAAGAGCTGCTAACTGCACAGTGAGGTAGAAAGCAGGCCACTGCGGCTCTGCTGCCACTGGGACTCGCTGCAAGATCTGGGGCCTATAACGCAGAGAGGGTGGGAGGGAGGGAGTGATGGTTAACGAGGGCCGTCAGCCCAGGCTGCCTCCCTGTGGGTACCAGCAAAGCATGCTGGGAGGGACTCAGACCCCTGCAGCGCTGGGTGAGGAAACCCCACTCATTCACTGAGCACTGCTCACCAGCCAGCCAGGCAGCATCAGGAACAATAGAGTGCTGTCTGTGTTCTGCTACAAGAGGGGCGCTGCTTCTCTGCTCTGTCAGGATGACTTGTCTGTAAACATGTTTTTTTTTTTCACTGTGTCAAGCAGCTGTGCTGCACATTTGAACTGATACACAATATTGCTCCTAACTCGATATTGTAGTATATTTGGAACATTTTGATATTTAATGGAGATTTTGATTTTTGAAACATAAAAATAAAAATGTATGCCTGCGGAGGAGCAGTGCTTGTGAATTAAGACTATTTTGTTTATTTTTATTACATTTGATGTAGCAAACTAAACTAAATTGGAGGAAGGGTAAAAGAGGACTATGATAAACCAAGTTTCCTCATTTATTCACTCAATCCTCCCTCGTTCAATAAACCCCACATAGTTGTCTAGAATTGGAAATATTTTTATCAGTTACAATTACTGAAGCCTATATGGTGAGTGAGCATTTTAATCATGTAAAACTAACCAGCTGCAGTGTAGCCTAATTACACAACACAATCCTGTCACTAACAGGATATAGATAAGTGATTCTGTTGTGGTTTTTCGCCTCTACTCAATCTCATGTAAGTGAGTGCCTCTACTATGTGCAGCCCTGGATTCATTCCTATTGCCCTTCTGTAACAGCCCCACGACGCAGCTGCTTACAAGCTCATAACATATGGTGAAATTAATCGTAGCTGCCTTTTTTGACTCGGTAGGCCTGTAGATGTGACATGCTACATCTCCTCAGTGTCTGTATGTGGGACCAGATGATGCAGAGCTGCAGTGGCTCCCTCTCAGCTGTGCATTACATGTTAGTGGAGCATGAGTCACATACACAGCAGAGTTAGGTAATGGTGGACGAACAGTGTGCCAGGTAGCGGGTGTGTGTGTGTGTGTGTGTCTCTGTGTGTCTCTGTGTGCCTTTGTATGTCTGTTTGTGTAGCCTATGCACAGGGCTAGAACGATTTGGGTAGAAGCAGTGCTCTGTCAAGCACAGTGTGGGATGAACAAAATTGGGGGTGAAAGGAACGAAGTGGTAAAAAGTGGGCGTGTCCGTTCCCTACGGTTTCTCTAAGCACTTTTCTTGGTAGTCAGCCAAGCCTGCCACCATGGTGTCAAAAACGTAGAAAAGCCTTCGGGGGGGGGGGGGGGGGGAGAGTTAGCAAAACAACAGAGACGCCAACAGAATTTCCTCTGTGTGGTTGCATTAATGGATCCTCTGTAGAGTGAGGGGAGTGGGAGGGTTGTTGTGTATGCCTTGCTTTCTCTCCCCCTTAATTGGCTGAAACGCACAGCAGCCAAGGTCTGGAGCCCCAAGAGGCATAGTCCCACGTGGAGTCAGCCATTTACACAAGGTTTCTTTAAATGCCCCCTTTTCATGCAAAGGAGGGAGGATATTTAAGTGCGCCATAAAAGGGTTGCGTAACAGCACTGTATAGGGAATATCAGTTCAATTCGTATATACACACACACAAACATGTACAGGGTTGTGGGAGCAGGTATGATAACACAGTGTCTAATGCATTCTGTATACAGTATGTTATTCTTAGACTAGTTGCCAGAGGGGGAAAACACAGCATTTTTTATAGGTTGGCGGTTGGAGATTACCATTTGCTAGTCTTGTATTCCAAATGTGTGTTGTGCAATAAGCAACTTGAATTCTTCGCTCTTGTCTCCCCCCTAATCTCATAAACAATAATGCCCTCTCACCCACTTTCCACACACTAAAACATGCACTCATACAAACACACATTTTCCTTCCATAAACACACACACCTTTTCTCCTACACCCTTTCTTTCACCCACTCTAGTCAAGGATTTGGTGCACTGGCGAGACCCCAAGAAGTCGGGCGTGGTGTTCGGCCTGTCCCTGCTGACGCTCCTGTCCCTGGCGGCGTTCAGCGTCATCAGCGTGATCTCCTACCTGCTCCTCGCCCTTCTCTGTGTCACCATCACCTTCCGCATCTACAAGTCCGTCGTCCAAGCCGTGCAGAAGTCCAATGATGGACACCCCTTCAAGTAAGGCAGCACACTCCATATGGAAACTTGTGATGCTACTAAGTCTTGTATTCATTTGGCTATTAGAACGAATGTGGAAAAAGCCAGTGGTAAGAGGTTGCTTGGTAGGAGTGGTTGTTTTGACAAAATGTCTACCTGAGTAGTCTGACTAGGGCCATGAGTTTTTTCTCACCACATGACCAGGAAAATATAAATTCCCTATTTATAGGTTATCGTTGTTCCCATTGCTGTTTTTAGTACCATGACTTCGTCTTCATCATAGTATTTTTAGGCGCCAATGGGAAATGACTATCTGCTGAAATCCTTCCAAATGAAAAAATGCAAAGCTCCAGCAGGATGTTTGTGCTTGTCATCACAACCCCTGCCTGAGTGACTCATTTCCTGCTGGTTTTATTAATAGAAACAACCTTTATGGTCCAGTCAGAGCCTGAGGGGGGGCGTATTTCAGTACAGAGCAGCACAGCCCAGTCAAACACAGAATGATGACTTCTTATTTATTTATTTTACCCTTATTTTACCAGGTAAATTGACTGAACACATTCTCATTTACAGCAACTTCTACAATGTACACTGAGTATACAAAACATTAAGAACACCTTCCTAGTATTGAGTTGCACCCCCCACCCCCCCGCCCTCAGAACAGCCTCAATTCGTCGGGGCATGGACTCTACAAGGTGCTTCCCACAGTTGTGTCAGGTTGGCTGGATGGCCTTTGGGTGGTGGACTATTCTTGATACACACGAGAAACTGTTGAGTGAGAAAAACCCAGCAGCGTTGCAGTTCTTGACACAAACCAGTGGCACCTACTACCATACCATGTTCAAAGGCACTTAAATATTTTGTCTTGCCCATTCACCATCTGAATGGCACACACACACACAATCCATGTCTCAATTGTGTTAAGGCTTAACAATCCTTCTTTAACCTGTCTCCTCCCTTTCATCTACACTGATTGAAGTGGATTTAACAAGTAAAATCAATAAGGGATCATAGCTTTCACCTGGATTCACCTGGTCAGTCTGTCATGGATAGAGAAGGTGTTCTTAATGTTTTGTACACTCAGTGTATGCCTGAAAACAACTCCTTGAGTAGAAAAAAGCTAACTAGTGAAATCATCAAATCCAGTGAATTGATCAAATTATAAAATGAAAGCAGCTTGGTTGGTTTAGCTGATTAGTACTTCTTAGCAGGTTAGCATTACACGATCAAATAAAAGCCATTGTTAGATTTGACGTGTAGCAGGTTAGCCTGATTGAGTTCACAGCTTCACACTTCTGCTGTGGTTGGTTCTCTTCAGGGCTCTGATGGAGAAGGATGTCAGCATTCCCCCCGAGACCTTCCGCAAGCACGTGGACGTCAGTCTGACCTACATCAACCGATTCCTCAAACAGATGAGCAAACTCTTCCTGGTCGAGGACATCATCGACTCCCTAAAGGTGGGTTTAGGTGTCTGTCCAGCTGCCTGTATCTGAGCCTCTGCCCATGATGGATGTGTTGGTGGACCAGTGATCCATTCCATCGTACCCTGGTGTGTGCGCATTGTTTTGCCTTTTACCTTGTTCATAAATAGACGTACACAACCCTAAAGAAGGTATTAGACAAAACAGTCCTAAACAAGTGACAATCCTGACTTGTTCCCATAGGCCTCTGTCTATTCTCTCCCCCTTAAACTCTCCTCTCCTCTTTTTATAACTCTCACACACTATGGAAGACACTACACAAGCCCTGGCTTAGCACCGCAGCCATCCGATAGCGGCTAGCTAGCTGACCCAGAATGCAGCTCACAGCTAGCACTCTGTGGAGCGAGGGGAGGGGAGGGAAGAGAAGAGACGAGAAGAGAGGAGGAGGAGAGACGAGAAGAGAGGAGGAGGAGAGCCACTGCCAGTGTAACACTTTATTATAGCCCAGCCAACCAGACATACCAAGATTACTGTTGCTGGTCGATCCCACGGCCACTCATGCAGGGTTAATGCTCCCTATTGTGGCTCCACTCCCAGCCTTTGAAGTTAACATTCCATCCCTTCTGTCACGCCCTGGCTCTGGGGACTCTTATATGTTGAGCCAGGGTGTGTAGGTTTCTATGTTATAGTTTTCTATGTTGTGTTCTAGATCGTTTAGTTTCTATGTTGGCCAGGGTGGTTCCCAATCAGAGACAGCTGTAGCTTGTTGTCTCTGATTGGGGGCAATACTTAGGCAGCCTGTTTGGCACAGTTTATTGTTTGTGTTCAACCAAGGACTTCACGTATCATTTGTTTTGTTGTTTTGATTCGTGTTGTACATTTAATAAAGAATGTACGCGTATCACGCTGCGCCTTGGTCCGCTTCATCTAACAACGATCGTGACAGAAGATCCCACCTCGACTGGATCAAGCAGCGTGACGAGGAGAGAGGATGGACCTGGGAGGAGATGAGTGAGAGTCTGGCAAGAGGGATGGAGGCCATGAGCACGGGGGAGAGACAAGCCCAAAAAAATTTTAGGGGGGCTCACGCCGTAGACAACGAGGCAGCAGGAGGCCACGATAGAGCGGTTCAGCCGGTTAGCAGAGGAGGCCGCTAGGTTACGGGGGCCACTGGTCATGAGGGAGAAGGAGAGTGTGGAGGCACGGCGAGAGGAACTGAGTAGGCAGTAGAGGGAGCGGAGGTTTATGAGGAAACCCAGTCCCGCTCCTCGCACCAAGTAAGTGGTTTGTGTCACCAGTCCGGTCCGGCCCGTTCCTGATTCCCGCACAAGGCCAGTGGTGTGTGTTCCCAGTACGGTCAGGTCCGTTCCTGCTCCCCGCACTAAGCCTGTAGTGCGCGTCGCCAGCACGGTCCGGCCTGTTCCTGCTCCCCGCACCAAGCCTGTGGTGCGCGTCGTCAGCCCGGTCCGGCCTGTTCCTGCTCCCCGCACCAAGCCAGTTGTGCGCGTCGCCAGCCCGGTCCGGCCCGTTCCTGCTCCCCGTACCAAGCCTGTGGTGCGCGTCGCCAGCCCGGTCCGGCCCGTTCCTGCTCCCCGCACCAAGCCAGTGGTGCGCGTCGCCAGCCCGGTCCGGCCCGTTCCTGCTCCCCGCACCAAGCCTGTGGTGCGCGTCGTCAGCCCGGTCCGGCCCGTTCCTACTCCCCGCACCAAGCCAGTGGTGCGCGTCGCCAGCCCGGTCCGGCCCGTTCCTGCTCCCCGTACCAAGCCTGTGGTGCGCGTCGCCAGCCCGGTCCGGCCCGTTCCTGCTCCCCGCACCAAGCCAGTGGTGCGCGTCGTCAGCCCGGTCCGGCCCGTTCCTGCTCCCCGCACCAAGCCAGTGGTGCGCGTCGCCAGCCCGGTCCGGCCCGTTCCTGCTCCCCGCACCAAGCCAGTGGTGCGCGTCGTCAGCCCGGTCCGGCCCCTTACCTGCTCCCCGCACCAAGCCAGTGGTGCGCGTCGTCAGCCCGGTCCGGCCCGTTCCTGCTCCCCGCACCAAGCCAGTGGTGCGCGTCGTCAGTCCGGCACGGTCCGTGCCTGTTCCACCCAGGCACCGGGTGGTTTCTATGTTATAGTTTTTCTATGTTGTGTTCTAGATCGTTTAGTTTCTATGTTGGCCAGGTGGTTCCCAATCAGAGACAGCTGTAGCTGTTGTCTCTGATTGGGGACCATACTTAGGCAGCCTGTTTGGCACAGTTTATTGTGGGATCTTGTTCCGGAAGGTTTGTGTTCAACCCAGGACTTCACGTATCGTTTGTTTTGTTGTTTTGATTCGTGTTGTACATTTAATAAAGAATGTACGCATATCACGCTGCGCCTTGGTCCGCTTCATCTAACAACGATCATGACACCTTCCCTAGCTGGAGGTAGAAGTAGCGCCTAACCACAGATCTAGGATCAGATTATCCTACCTCCCATGCCATAGCCTAAACCAGCAATTGGATTAGAAAATATTACAATATTTGACCCTAGAACAGATGTTAAGGGACAACTTCTTCCTAATCCTCCCACTCCTGAGTATGGATACCATGGGTATGTATAAACCGAGGATGAATTGGGTAGGATGCAACTGTACCGAACATTCCGATAGAAATGTAATGCATAGAGATGACACGATTCCCTATTCCACATGACAGAAAACCATGCCTGTTCTACATTTCACTCTGCAACATTTGAACCACTTCACCCCTCTGAATAGGCGCCAGGCACACAGTGTTCTAATCATTGACTTAATATGGCATCATTGGCTCTAACCCGGGTCTGTTTTCTTCTTCTCCCAGCTGGCTGTAGTGATGTGGCTGCTGACCTACGTAGGAGCTGTCTTCAACGGCATCACCATCTTCATCCTGGGTAAGAGGCTACCGCAGCACTAAACTGAGGTCATCTTTATGCAGCCAATCAGAGTAGCAGCTAGGGCCCTGAGGGGAAAGGGTTTGAGTCAGCAGCTGAATCAGACCCACTTCCTCCTCACGGCTCCCATGACACAACCAGTGGTTGATATCATTGGACACAACTGTGCACCGCAAGTGGGGTCAAATGTCGGAGAATGTGCTAGAAAATGCAGTGTTGAACATTTTGAAATATAAAAGATGTTGTTAGATATGGATAGCGTTTGAGGTACTTTTATCCAACACATGACGCTGTTGGCATGTCGTGTGTGTATGTGGTTTAAACATGCATGAAACATAGGAGAATAAAAGTGAGACGCGAAAGGTATGCGAAGGCAAAAGGGTGGCTATTTGAAGAATCTCTAATATAAAATATAATTCGATTTGTTTAACACTTTTTTGGTTACTACATGATTCCAAGTGTGATATTTCATAGTTTTTATGTCTTCACTATTATTCTACAATGTAGAAAATAGTCAAATAAAGAAAAACCCTTGAATGAGTAGGTGTTATAAAACGTTTGACCGGTAGTGTATATACATATATATGTCTACAGTATATATACAGTATATCTATATATCCATAAATTGCAGCCCTGAATCTGCAATGGAAATAATAAAATGTAGCTCTGGTAATGAGTCATATTTGAACGGTTTGGGCTAGAGCAGTGGTCTCCAACCTTTTCTTTCATAATAGCTACTTCATACAAAAAAAAAATTTGCGACCTACTCCTATACAGCCTTCATAAATATGTTTGTGACCAATACATTTTGATTTGATTTATTTTGTTATTGTGTAGGCCTAATTTGCTGAATAGAAACAAAGAACAGCACTGGATACATAAAGTAACTGCGTTTTGGTTCTTAAAACCACACATTTTGAACAAAAATCATTCTACTGTAGGCTACCTTGAGAATCTTGCCTTTTTTAAATGAGAGAAGATAAAAGGGTTTTAAATTTGAACAAATCTGTAGCCTGCGGTTACGGGACTATGCTACTATAAATTGTTTTCTAATACATTTTTAATTGTCATTCTGTTGAATAGTGGCCTATTAAACAACACACCACAGTGAGTAGGCTACATATTTGACAACAAATCGTGAAGAAACAGAATAGTCATGAAAATTAAGAGGAATAACAAAAGTTCCGCTTTTCATCTGACATGGACTTTTTTTGGCGCCATTGTTTGAAGCGCTGTCAGTGTCACCATGAAAATGTTTCAAACTTGTCTCAGTAGCATACGTATTTGATGCAACGATGGCAGAAATGGCTTATTTGGTCGATATTACTTACTAAGCAAAGCAGAGCTGTTTTATCTAGGTACAAATATCCTGTGCTTTTTCATTTTGCGCATAGGTACACAAAATTATTTCACAGATTGAAAGTGGGGATGCAGCTGCTCTTTTTGCTCCATTGCTCAGGCGCCTGTGGACATACTGTCACTGTCCACTGTCACATGCCTTCGCCTCTCCGGTTCATGCGCATATGTTTCATGCATGTTTAAACCAACCTGGGCAACGGGACACACTTGAAAGGGGGTCAAAGTTCATAGAATGTGCTAGAACATTTTTATCATCAAACATTTTCCATCAAATAAACTGGCCAATTTAAAAACGTTAGTTCACAATCGCACTGGATTATCATTTTCACTGTGCAATTACATTTGCTATAATGCTTGCCATCGTGGTAAACGGCATCGTTTAGAATAGAAACTCTAGACGATTGCTGTGACTAGAACACCCTGTGGGTCTTGTTAGCGTGTTGTTAGTGTGTCACACTTGTCCAGTGTCCACCCGTGACCTTTTCCTAGATTGACAAGACTGATGATAGTCTGAGGTCACTGGCGGAACAGACTGTGCCTTCATATGATTGGCTCATAAGACCAGCACTACCCAATAGCCTGCAGCTCTGACAAACACAGTATGTCAGGAATATTGATCTAAACTTGCTTAATGGCATGTCACGCCATCGCAGTTTACAGGGTGTTACAGTTTACAGGTTGTTTTTGTGGAGGGATTTCTTACTAGTAAAATGGTCTGCACTGTCCTTAGTCTACCTCCCTGAAAGCAACATTATTATTGTGATGGACTATATAAATGGTAACTTTATATAGGCCTTTGAGTCTCGAGAGAGATGATGCTTTGTGCCTTTTGTAGAGGTCAGATCCTAGTTGTACCCCGTGTTATTTTTATGTTATTTCAATGTTTTTCTTTCTCTCTCCTCCAGCTGACATCCTCCTCTTTGCCGTGCCCCCGTTCTATGAGAAGAACAAGGTGAGAGACTGACCATTGATCTTTTGTCTTCTTATAACATCGAAGAAGTAGAGAATTTTATTATTGCATTACATGCTTTAGAACTATTTAGTGTTGAGTCATGCTGGTGAATCATACCATCTACCTAGAGCTAGACCTATACAGTGCATTTGGAAAGTATTCTGAACCCATTACTTTTTCCATATTTTGTTATGTTACAGCCTTATTCTAAAATTGATTAAATTGGTTTTTCCCCTCGTCAATCTACACACAATACCCCATAATGACAAACGCAAAAATAGGTTTTTTAGAAATTTTAGCGAATGTATAAAAAAAAATATATATATCACATTTTACATAAGTTTTCAGACCCTTTACTCAGTACTTTGTTGAAGCACCTTTGGCAGTGATTACAGCCTCAAATCTTCTTGGGTATGACGCTATAAGCTTGGCACACTTGTATTTGGGGAGTTTCTCCCATTCTTCTCTGCAGATCCTCTCAAGCTCTGTCAGGTTGGATGGGGAGCATCGCTGCACAGCTATTTTCAGGTCTCTCCAGAGATGTTAGATCGGGTTCAAGTCCGGGCTCTGGCTGGGCCACTCAAGGACATTCAGAGACTTGTCCTGAAGGCACTCCTGCATTGTCTTGGCTGTGTGCTTAGGGTTGTTATCCTGTTGGAAGGTAAACCTTCACCCCAGTCTGAGGTCCTGAGCGCTCTGGAGCAGGTTTTCATAAAGGATCCCTCTGTACTTTGCTCCGTTCATCTTTCCCTCGATCCTGACTAGTTTCCCAGTCCCTGCCGCTGAAAAACATCCCCACAGCATGATGCTGCCACCACCATGCTTCACTGTAGGGATGGTGCCAGGTTTCCTCCAGATGTGACACTTGGCATTCAAGCCAAAGAGTTCAATCTTGGTTTCATCAGACCAGAGAATCTTGTTTCTCATTAACGGAGAGTCCTTTAGGTGCCTTTTGGCAAACTCTGTCTGGCCACTCTACCATAAAGGCCTGATTGGTGGAGTGCTGCAGAGATGGTTGTCCTTCTGGAAGGTTCTCCCATTTCCACAGAGGAACTCTGGAGCTCTGTCAGAGTGACCATCGGGTTCTTTGTCACCTCTCTGACCAAGGCCCTTCGCCCCGATTGCTCAGTTTGGCCGGGCGGCCAGCTCTAGGAAGAGTCTTGGTGGTTCTAAACTATTTCCATTTAAGAATGATGGAGGCCACTGTGTTCTTGGGGACCTTCAATGCTGCAGACATTTTTTGGTACCCTTCCCCAGATCTGTGCATTGACACAATCCTGTCTCGGAGCTCTACGGACAATTCCGTCAACCTCATGGTTTGGTTTTTGCTCTGACATGCACTGTTAACTGTGGGACCTTATATAGACAGGTGTGTGCCTTTCCAAATCATGTCCAATCAATTGAATTTACCACAGGTGGACTCCAATGAAGTTGTAGAAACATCTCAAGGATGATCAATGGAAACAGGATGCACCTGAGCTCAATTTCGAGTCTCATAGCAAAGGGTCTGAATACTTATGTAAATATTTCTTATACATTTGCAAAAATGTATAAAAACCTGTTTTTGCTTTGTCATTATGGGGTATTGTCTGTAGATTGATGAGGATTTTATTTAATCCATTTTTAGAATAAGGCTGTAAACTCACTGTTGTCTTCCTCACTTTCTTCCCCAGACCCAGATTGATCACTACATGGAAATCGTGCGCACTCAAGTCAACACCACAATGGCTAAGTAAGTGTTCCCAACCAAAACTGTTTAAATGCCAACAGGATGTCTCCGATTTATAATCTATCTAAACTAACAGTATTAGTGGTGCCATGTGATCCGAGATGTGTATGTTGACAGTATACATGTTCTCTTTACCGTTTCTCTTCCAGGTTGCAAGAGAAACTCCCTGGAGCCATCAAGCGTACGAAAGCTGAATGATTGGCTCTCAGACATCTTCATCACATTTATCCCATCTTAAATCCCCTCCCCTCCTCCCTGCCTCTCCTCCTTCTCAGTCCTCTTCCCCTATCCATCCTCTAACCTCCCTCCCTCCCTCCCTCCCTCCCTCCCACCAACCATCATACCATCTGCACTGAACCAGCTAGGTAGAAAAAAATGTCAAATGCTACTCAATATTCAATGTAAACTGCGCAGCTTAACTACGAGCATTTAGAAAAAGAACTACACCTACTGCGTCGACAGGAAACACGTCTAGTGGGAGGAAATGATGTAATGCCGTGGCAGGACGCCTGTCTTTGGGCAAACAACAAATTATGCAGGGGGCAAGTGAACTAGACTGAATCTATGACTTGGTTTTGTAGTGTACAGTTGGAGGGTGTAGGGTTTAACATTGACAAGTAAGGATGAGCGTTCGTCTCGCAAAAAAGCAAATGTCTGTACTTTTAACTATATATTTAGCTGAAAGTAAACAACACAAGTAGAAAAGTAAAAATAAATAAAAAGAGCAAACTGATTTTTTAAAATTACGTTTGGGTGTAAATTGTGGCTAGTCCTTTTCCTGCTGTCTCGCTCTGTGGCAGTTGTATGGATAAACAAAAAATATATAGAGTTTGTGTCTGGAACATGGTACTGGGATTTCACTGTTACGGATTGGCCTGTTTTGGTGTTATTGTATTTTGTTCACCTTAAAGGTATTTATGTATGTAAAACGTTTCTGCAATGCACTGAACTTTTTTTTCAAATCCCACGAGCAGGTTATAATAAAAGGATTGGAACACTGAACCAGCTGTGATACTTTTGGTCTAGTTCACCCTGTTTGATTTGGATGCATTTGGCATAATGTTTCTGTATATACACGACTACAACGGGGCTCCCTCTTTCTCTGCTGTATGAAACAAGTTAGCATCGCTTTTTTATAAAAGGAAAACTCACTCTTACAGCGGTCATAACTTGTTTTTTGTCGCACCTGTTCAAGTCATCAATGTCTCATGTTCACCAGTACATTTATATTATTACTATTATTGATATGATTGATATTATTATTATTATTATTATTATTATTATTATTGCTTATAGGATTGCTGCTTTTGACTCCCTTTTAGCTTTGTAAAGGCTCCATAAAGCTTCATAGTAGCTTCGTGAAGCTTCATAGAGCTTCATAACCGCTTGACTTCTCCAGTGAGACCTCTTGGCAAACTCTTGGATATGGGTTCAAAGACAGTTCCCTTTTTGACGGTAGCTGGAAGTATAACTATGACGGAACGATAGATGCAAGAAAATATTTGGTGGGTGTTGTAATTGTTTAGCTTTATTTGAATGCCATGTAGTGCATGTCATTGCATGAGCTGGAAACATTCTCACACTTTTTATATAGGCTGTTTCATATTCTTAACCCTTATGTTTTTGTTTATAAGATGATCATTAATTGTGATTGCTTAAAAGGTGTTTTGATTTCAATAAAAACCATGGTCATCTATTTTAGGGCTACTTCTCTGTAATGGCAAAGTGTCTTCGAAAGGGATTTTAGAAATTGTTCGTATTCTGATCGTCAATACTCCTAGACATTGTGCCCAAAGTAAGTTTGCACGTCCGTTGTAATTTTTTCAGGAATCCCTCTACATTGGATGGTCACTGAAGATAAAACACTAATGTTGTAACATAAATTATACAATGATCATTTCACATTGCCTCAATGCATCAACAACTACTACTACTACTATTCAAATGTATGTTAACTGCTGAATGTTACCCTGCAACATTGATAGAACATTCCTCCCCATGCATGAAAACCAATGTTTCATAGTGGCCCCGATGTTGTCAGTGGACACACTGCCTCACAGAGATGTGGAGCAACAATGCTTATTGGTTCCCATCTGCATTCATGTGTCTGTATATCTAACTCTGTGGCAGTTCATTCAAGCCACTGGACAATAATCTACTTGCTTCGCTAGGGTCAAGTCTAACTCGACCCTCAATTCATCAACTCAAGCTATTGGACATGTTTGTTCTGGATGTTTGTTTTTCACACACACATACATACACGCTCAGCCACAGTTGAACGTATCCAATGTCTGTAAACCACTGTGTCCTTGTGATGCTGGACTAATTAAACATTCAGTTGCCATGATGATGATGATGACCTCATTATAAGGTGTTCCAAACAGTCAGGCTTTTCATGGGCGCTCCACCACTCAACCTTTTCATTGAAGGCAATGCTACCTTTGTTTTCAATAGATTATAAAACAGACCTCTTACTTTAGTGTCTTTATTTGCTTTAGACAGTGCTTTATTCTTCCATTGTCAAATACAATATAATAATTATACATGCACATTTTAAACTAGTTTCTGTGAAGAATGTGGTTTATTTTCAAATTTTTCCTGCTCTGTTTTTTTTCCTTTCTTGGAGGGGGTTGGCAGGATTTTTTTTCTTCTCTTTGGCATTCTTTGTTTTGCTTTTGACTATATTGGTAACTAGGTGTGTTAACTAACATCTCAGCTCTGTCTGTAAGCAATGACTTTAGATCACATTTTGGAGCTTTGGAAAAAAAGTTGGAAAAAATTAGAGAAAAAAACTGTGATCCCTGTACTGATGTTAAAGTGGAATTAATAAAAATATGTCAAAGGCTGATTTATTTGTCCATCTGTGGTCTGCTCTACAACTTCTAAAGACTAAATATTACAGCATTGTCTGAACCACAGGGTAATACATTGTGTCAAGATTGAAAAATAAGATTGAGTCCAGCATTCGCGCTCCATTTTGGACAGCGGGATGGGATGGTAATATGAGTGTTTTTGACAAGAGTATAATACTGTAGCTACTAATTTTAGACCAGGTCTGCATGTTGAGATAACACAGACATGGTAAACCCAATCAGCAAATGTATTAATTTGCAGTATTGCTTTGAGTTATTACCAGCTGTCTGCAAATGACCATTGAGTCAAGTCAATTTTAGCCATAATTTCCCAGAGACCCAGTCAGACAATATTATTTGGATACTTTTTTATTACAAGTATCATTGATGACAGAATGCATGTCTCAACAACCTTTTGCCATGTACAGATGAAATGCAGAGCGGATACTTGAAACATATGAAACAGAAGAAAAAATATTGAGGAAAGAGGAGGGAATCAGTCCCTAAATAAAACTGAAGATCATTGCTTGTGTCCTCACCCAAGCCAACTAAGTACCACCAAGGGGTAATTTTTACGTGCTCCTTATACACACTGACACAAACATACACGTAAATCATTGCAACAAACAAGGTTTATTCTTATTTATTCAATCACATATTCACCATATTTAAGTACTATTCATTTTTAAATAATAAGTGCTGAGTCACACAAACAACCTGATTCTGTGGCCGTCAGGGGCCAACGTGGCTAGAAGCCCAAATGTAATAAGTATTTCACCACTCCTTGCCCAGTTCCTGCATGCTAAAATGACCACTGCACCAACTAGGGCTGTGTCTGAAAACATTACTAGCTGTCAAATCCTTGCTTCCTCTCTCCTGGTTTCCTCAATTCCTATCAAAGTGCATTAGAGGAGAGGATTCAAGGTCCCTCCTCTGGCCCTGCAATGCGCTTTGAGAGGAATTCAGGAAACAAGGATGGAGAAAGCACAGATTTGCCAACTAGTAACAATTTCAGATCCAGCCCGAGTCACCAATACAGGCAGCGTAGGTTAGTGGAAGAGAGTGGTATTCAACACTCATGTCCCTCCTCTCCACATAACTGGAGAAATGCTGCCATCTGGTTCTTTGAACAAATCAATTAGTCCATGGGTTATAAAGTAGTCATGTTTAGTGGAGTAATTTTGACGAGCTAACAAGAGAGCGAAAGAGCGAGCACAGATGGAAAATGGACAATCCCTGAGTTCTGCTTTTCCTGGTGGAGTGATATTTTAGAGGACACTGAAATAAGGGCAAGCGAGGGGCTCATTTCAAAGGTGGTCAATTTGGCGATTTATTTCCTGACGCGGTTGTAATTTTTATGTTTCTTTTTTATTATCACTTTGTTGCATAAACCTTGTAATAGGTGAGTTATTGAAAATGGTAACCTTGCATGTGAAATCTTGTATAAATATGCTCTCTTATAAAATGCCTCAGCCATTGAAGGCAATCGCTCCACAATCATGCATGACTTCAGAATTCCCATGCAAAATGACATTTACGTGGCATAATTTCATTTGATCAATGAAGTCGACAAAATGGCCGCAATTACAAACCCTTTTGTAAAAAACATGTCTAAAAGTGCTTGTAAAAAAAATAATCATAATAATTCAAATATTCAACACTATAAAATAGATTTTTTTGTGTGAGTGAAGCTTTTAGCTAAGAAGAGTCATGAGAAGCAGAAATAGGTGCTGGCCGGTGCAACAATAGTACTGTGACACTGGAAAAGAGATGGAAAGTAAAATCTTCTCATTCAAGAATGAGACACATTTCTGGAGGATGTCCATTTACCTCATTGTAAACAAGGAATTTCTGAAATAACAGGATGTATTTGACATAAGTGAATAAAGATAATTGCATCTTTAAGTGGCATTCATTGTCTTAAGCAATAAACCTCAAACACCCTCTCATTCAATCACCTACTAGGTTTAAGTACATTTTTGGGACAGAAAGTGCTATATTGTACGCTCCCTGACACATCAATCACCAACTGTGCCAGACACCACTCACGACAGGGCTCTACCAAGCCTCATGTTTCTAACTTCCTGAGAAAGAGAGACTTGGGGTTGGAGCGGGGAGAACAACCGTGCCTGTCGCCCCTCATCTTAACTGACGAAGAGACTGGCGGCCGTCTCTCTGAGTGCAGAGTGTCCATGGTCCTGGGAGGAGAAACAGTCTTCCGAGTGGACGAAGTGCAGGGCTGTCTGGTTGTAGCTGAGCAGGGCCTGCTGTCTCTCGTCAGGGCCGTACTCCAGAGAATGAGGGTGGACCTGCTGGATGTGTCTCTTGATGGTGCTGACTTTAAGAGTGGCTAACGTCGCCCCGCACACCATACAGATCAGCCCATGTCGTCGGCAGTCGTAGTCCATCAGGAACTCCACCCGCCAGCGCGCCTGGTAGTTCCGCCGCTGGTCCTTGCCCGGGTAGTGTCCGTGGCGTCCCAGAGTGGCAGGTGTGGTTGCGACCCCCTCCTCCTTCTTCACGGTCTGGATGGCGGACATCTTGGTGGTCCGGTGGTTGTTGTTGTTGTCGGGCGCTACCTTTTCACCCATCTCTCCTGCCACATGTACGCTGATGATGTCACTGGGGTCCACTTCTGTGGGGGGGGGGGCAAAAACCACTTGGTGAATCACTTAGTATTTAATTTTTCTCTGAGAGTAGCTACAGTCTGTCCTTTACATTGGTTGGAACTTTTTGGAAAGTTTTACCTTCTTTCATCTGCACGGCCAGGTGGTCTTCCGTGGGGGCCTCTTTGGTCCAAGCCTCGGCCATGGCTGCCCTCTCCTCCCGGGAAAGGCTGGTGGTATCAGGGTGGCACTCCTGAATGTGGCGGCGGAAGCTGCTCACCTTGGCCACGGGCAGGGCTTGGGAGCAAACCATGCAGAAGGTGCCACGACCCTGAGGCCCATAGGCCACCAGGTAGTCCAGGCGCAGGCGCCAGGGGAAGCCCCCGCGGAGACGCCTCTTCCTGGGCTGGCGGAGAGGGAGAGGGGGTATGGGGCTGGTCACCTCTGGAGCTCCAACACCACCTCCATCACTGCTACCAACCATGTCCTGTATCTGGGATAATGCCTCATCGTTGTCTGAGCCGATCTGGATGGTCTCCAGGTCATCAGGGAAGAAGTCCACCCCAGCCTCTCTCTCGTCTTTGGTGTTGGGCTCCGATTTGATGAAGTCATTCAGAGGGTCGGATTCTGAAATGGGGCATGGGGTGGGGGTGGGGAGAGAGTATATGAGTGAGTGAAGACATCAATAGGGAATAACAGAATATGAAGGGCTTTTATAACAAAAGCTTTTTAATTCGGTGCTGAAAAGATTCAACTTAACTCTTTCTAGCATTATACAAGACACAAGACATATAGCTGATAAAAAACTAGAGCCACAGCGACAGAATACCTCTTTCCCTGTACTGTTATACTCAACCACGCCCTCCTCCCCTGTCTCACCATGCGTCTGAGCCCAGGTCTGCAGGATGCAGTGCTTCTCCTCCGAGCTGTAGACCAGCGACTGGGGATGGATGTCCAGCACGTGGCTCTTGATGTGGTCCAGGTGGAGCGAGGGCAGCGGACGGCCGCACACCATGCACACCAGCCTGCCCGCCTCCGCCTGGTACTCCATGAGGAACTCCTGTCGGAACCAGGCGTGGAGCGAATCGTTCAGGTAGCGCTCCAGGGTCTGGGCCGAGGGCCCGGAGAGCTCCTCCTGCTGCTGGAGGGGGGCCGATGGAGGGGGAGACGGGGTGGGGGACCGGGGCTGGAGTTTGGGGGTCACCGTACCATCAGCTTTTCCTGTGGGAAGAGATGGAGAGGGGAAATGCAATTGAAATGTATGTTAATGTGAATCAAGAAATAGGCCACCAGGGGACTGTCACATAAGCATGTCATATGCATCCATCTATCAGCAGATCATTCCTGTCGAGATCAGAGGCACAAGAGAAACCTTTCTTCTTACTACTACACCAAGCCACTGCACAAAGGCATCATCCTCTTACACTACTTGACAGCATGGGTATGACTGTATAACATACACACTTCTTATCAGACATGCTCATACTGCCACCAAGTGCAGAATCCTGAAACTCAATACTCTTATCACGTAGTCCAGTGTAGCTCAGTTGGTAGAGCATGGCGCTTGCAACACCAGGGTTGTGGGTTCGATTCCCACGGGGGACCAGTATGAAAATGTATGCACTCACTAACTGTAAGTCGCTCTGGATAAGAGCATCTGCTAAATGACTAAAATGTAAATGATCATAAAACTATGCCAATGTCATTTCATTCCCCCAGTCTCCAGAAAACCCCCACCGGTGGAGCGGCGTGCGCAGTCCAGCAGCTCCTCCTCCTGACCCTGCGAGACGGCGACCACCCCTCCAGCCGGACAGTACAGACTCTGGCCCCCCTCCAGACTCAGGTGGCTCTCCCAGCCCGAGCGAATCACCTCCTTGTCGGACACGCTCCACAGCAGGGAATCCGGGTGCTTCTGTCGAATATGCCTCTTGATGGTGCTGAGTTTGAGCGTGGCCAGCGAGCTCCCGCACACCATGCAGATCATGCCGTGGCGGCGGGGGTCAAAGTCCATCAGGAACTCGCTGCGCCAGTACTCGTGGTAGTAGCGCCGGTGGTCCCGGCCCGGGATGCGGCTGAAGCCGGGACGGGAGGCGCGTTGGACCCTCTCCTTGCTCCCCGAGGGGCCCGGGACGGGGGACAGGAGAAAGGGGGAGTCGGGACCCTCTGTGACACTCCAGTAGCTGGTGCCCGGAGCGCAGAGTGGGGTAACCATCTCCTCATCGCCGTCCACGTGGCCATTGGTCAGATCGTCTTCCTCTAGGTGAGAGAGAGCATTAGGAGATGCACTTACAGTAATAATATAGTTTATTCCATGAAACTGCACATTTCAAAGCTTTATAGCCTATTTCTCAGATAGCTGGTGGCACATACTCTGCCTGACATTCCAGATATTCATTCTGCTAGAAATATGATGACACGATAATAAGGGTTCATAATAAAACCGTTAATCTGTGGATAATATTCCGCACAGCACCACAGCGACTCCATTTAGCCGGTTTAGCCGCCGTTGGTTTCCGCTGGGTGGCGACTGTGCATCACAGCAAGCGGCCAGCATGCTATTTCGCCTTTGTTTATAGTGAAGCCACTAAGACAAGGGGGCATGCTGCTAGATGGCATTGTCCGTCACACGGATTAACTATGACTAAGGGTGGCGGGCGGACAAGTGGTCGAGTCTACGTACTCTCGAAACAAAAACATTACAATCTTTACCTCCTGAACAGTGTCCCAAGTCACTCCGCTCTTGCGTTGCTTCCTCCTCTCCGCGTATTATTAATGAGAGAGAATCTGTCTGCTCAGCACACGGGAGGACCACGGGCTCGCTCTCCCCCGTCTCTTTCTCTTCCATTACTCTGCAACGTTACACTATTTACGATTGCCTTCAATTCGCCTTTATAAACCAGGGAGGCACGGTATTTTTTGAGAATCATTCGGCACGCGTTTTGTAAGCTATCTAGAACATGTACGGACCCATCGCTTTTTGGGTGCCCCCGTGCTGTCTCTATAATGTGCCCCTCGCCCCCCACGCGCTCAGCTCTGGAGCCAAGTTAACTTTTAATATATCAGCTCGACATTTGGTCGGTCTTATATCCTTCTTCGAGTCTGCGGGTGTGAGTCTCTCTTGTATATGTTAAGATATAGTGGCCCCCTGTATGTATTTTAAGGCTCTGCTTGTCTTCGGGGTAGGGAGCCGAGCTTGGGGCCCCTGGGGCTCCTTAAGGGGCTCCTGGGTAAATTTAAAGAGACAGTAGCGGCATTCACGCAGCGACACGCAGACCCGGGGAACAGAACAATGATTTACAGTGCTTATAGAAAGTCTACACCACCCTTGGATTAAATTGTCATTTTTTGTCAAAGATCTACACAAAATACTATAATGTCATAATGGAAGAAAATGTTTAACTTTTTTATTAATTAAAAATAAAACACTACGTATTCACACCCTGAGTCCATACATGTTAGAAACACCTTTGGCAGCGATCACAGCTGTGAGTCTTCATAAGAGCTTTGCACACCTGTATTGTGCAATATTTGCCCATTCTTTTCAAAATTCTTCATGCTCTGTCAAGGTGATGGGGATCATGGCTAGACAGCAATTTTCAAGTCTTGCCATAGCAGATTTAAGTTAAAACTGTAACTTGGCCACTCAGGAGCATTCACTGTATTCTTGGTAAGCAACTCCAGTGTAGATTTGGCTTTGTGTTGTAGGTTATTGTCCTGCTGAAAGGTGAATTCCCCTCCCAGTGTCTGGTGTAAAGCAGACTGAACCAGGTTTTCCTCTAGGATTTTGCCTATGCTTAGTTCCATCCCATTTATTTTGGTCCTGAAAAACTCCCCAGTCCTTGCCAATGTCAAACATACCCATACCATGATGCAGCCACCACCATGCTTGAAAATAAGGATGTGTTGTGTTGGATTTGCCCCAAACATAAGGCTTTGCATTTAGGCCAAAAAGTGTATTCCTTTGCCGTGTTATTTGCAGTATTACTTTAGTGCCTTGTTGCATACATATGCTGTATATTTGTATTCTTCTTTTCACTCCGTCATTTAGGTCAGTATTGTGGAGACACTACAATATTGTTGATCCATCCTCTGTTTTTTCCCATCACAGCCATTGAACTCTGTTTTAAAATCACCAATGGCCTCATGGTGACATCTCTAAGCAGTTTCCTTCCTGTCGTGCAGCTCAGTTCAGAAGGACGACTGCATCTTTGATGTGTCTGGGTGGTTTAATACAGCACAATTATTAACTTGACCGTGCTTAAAGAGATATTCAATGTCTGATTTGTTATTGTTACCCATCTACCAATCACTGCCCTTCTTTGAGGCTTTTGAAAAGCTCCCTGGTCTTTGTAGTTGAATCTGTGCTTGAAATTCAATACTTGACTGAGGGATCTTACAGATGTTGTATGTATGGGGAACAGTGGAAGGGGATTCACAAATCATGTCAACCCCTATTATTTCACACAGCGTGAGTCCATATACACTGAACAAAAATATAAACACAATATGCTACAATTTCAAAGATTTTACTGAGTTACAGTTCATAAGGAAATCCGTCAATTCAAATAAATTCATTAGGACTTAATCTATGGATTTCACATAACTGGGAGTACAGATGTGCTAGAATATACTGAGTGTACAAAACTTTAGGAACACCTGCTCTTTCCATGATATAGACTGACCAGGTGAATCCAGGTGAAAGCTATGATCCCTTATTGATGTCACTTGTTAAATACACTCCAATCAGTGTAGATGAAGGGGGGAGACAGGTTAAGGAATGATTTTTAAGCCTTGAGTCATGGATTGTGTATGTGTGCCATTCAGAGGGTGAATGGGCAAGACAAAGTATGTAAGTGCCTTTGAACGGGGTATGGTAGTAGGTACCAGGCGCACCGGTTTGTATGTCAAGAACTGCAAGCTGATGGTTTTTCATACTCAACAGTTTCCCGTGTTTATCAAGAATGGTCTACCACCAAAAGGACATCCAGCCAACATGACACAACTGTGGGAAGCATTGGAGTCAACATGGGCCAGCATCCCTGCATTTGTATTTATTATGGATCCCCATTAGTTACTCTTCCCCATTAGCTACTCTTCCTGGGGTCCAGCAAAATTAAGGCAGTTATACATTTAAAAAAAAACATTACAATACATTCATAACAGATTTCACAGCACACTAAGTGTGTGCCCTCAGGCCCCTACTCCACTACCACATATCTACAACACAAAATCCATGTGTACGTGGGTATAGAGCGTATGATATCATGTGTGTGTGTGTATGCATGTCTGTGCCTATGTTGTGAAACGCTTGACACCTTGTAAAGTCCATGACTTGACGAATTGAGGCTGTTCTGAGGGCAAAAGTGGGGTGCAACTCCAATATTAGGAAGGTGTTCCTAATGTTTTGTACACTCGGGGTATATTAAATTACAAATTATTTAATTGATTGGGTTCTAATGTATTAATTGATTGATTGGGTGCAGTCCCAGTTTTACATATCAACGACATTTTCAGCATGGTCTAAAATTATATAACCAATAGCCTATAATAAAATGTTATTATAGAGAGGAAATGTGTGGTATCATGGATATGGATAAAAATGGCTCAATTTCATTGTCCAATACATGAAATATATGCTGCTGTCTTGATAAACAAAATAATGTCCCCTGTTGTGGTAGTATTGCTTTAAGAGGCTTGTATCTGTCCACGCGACGCAGTTTACACACAAGCAGCAAGGTCCCACATCCTGGTATTTTTCACCGTTGTCAAGGCAGCGATAGAGAGAAAGGCTGGCTCGCGGAAAGTATCTGCAGTGTCCTGACAGTATATCTGTCCAAACGTTAACAAACTGTCCCGGAAAGTTAGGTGTAACTACCAGGTAATGCATATGCATGTTTTTTCACACGTTTCCAAACGTCCTGCTCTTTCACCGATGGCTTGGTTTTATGCTTTTCGATTCATTTAGACAAGGAACACACACGCAGACAGGCGCCAGTCCGTGTGGACAGGGGAGGAGGAAGATATTGTCCATTGTACGCTGGTAGAGACAGCGCTGGTAGAGGCATGAATATCACCAAATGTTCCAATCTTCCGGGCGCTTTTCTTTGGATTTTGTGGCAATACTTGACTCGTCAGCACACTGCGTTTGGTATTCATATGAGAATAAATAAAGAATGAAAAACAGCACACGACAGACAATTTGTGATAGACGAGGGACATGATTTAAAGAGACAGTGCCATTTTTTTTTGTAGTGCATGCTGTTAGGAACACGGCCTGCATTTTGGAAGCGTTTCAGATTTCATATGCCAAGATCATGTTGTCTTCAAAGAAAATGTGTGTTTCGCAACACTGTATCCTATAGGTTACATGTAGGCTACTCTGAAAACCAGTCCTATTGTAGAACAAATGAATTAAAATGTCCACAGATACCTCAGAGCTGTTACTATAGTAATGATATTCATCAAGCTCTGTCAAGTTGGTTGTTGATCATTGCTAGACAGCCATTTTCTAGTCTTGCCATAGATTTTTAAGCCAAAACTGTAACTAGGTCACTCAGGAACATTCAATGTTGACTTGGTAAGCAACTCCAGTGTATATTTGGCCGACTGAACCAAGTTTCCCTCTAGGATTTTGCCTGTGCTTAGCTCTATTCCGTTTCTTTTTATCATTAAAAACTCCCAAGTTATTGCTGATGATTAGCATACCCATAACATGATGCAGCCACCACCATGCTTGAAAATATGAAGAGTGGTACTCAATGTTGTGTTGGATTTGCCCCAAACATAATGCTTTTCTATTCAGGACATAAAGTACATTTCTTTGCCACATTTTTTACAGTCTTACTTTAGTGCCTTATTTCAAACAGGATATTCTGTACAGGCTTCCACTGTCGTTTAGGTTAGTATTGTGGAGTAACTACAATGTTGTTGATCCATCCTCAGTTTTCTCCTATGACAGCCATTAAATTCTGTAAAGGTTTAAGTCGAGCAGGGAATTTCAAACACAGATTCAACCACAAAGACCAGGAAGGTTTTGGATGGTGAATCAATACACCCAGTCACTACAAAGATACAGGCGTCCTTCCTAACTCAGTTGCCGGAGAGGATGGAAACCACTCAGGGATTTCACCACGAGGCCTGTATCTTTGTAGTGACTGGGTGTATTGATTCACCATCCAAAACCTTCCTGGTCTTTGTGGTTGAATCTGTGTTTGAAATTCCCTGCTCGACTGAGGGACCTTACAGATAATTGTATGTGTGGGGTATAGAGATGATGTAGTCATTCAAAAATAATGTTAAACACTATTATCGCACACAGGGTGAGTCCATGCAACTTATTATGTGACCTGTTAAGCACATTTTTACACCTGAACTTATTTAGGCTTGCCATAACAAAGGGGTTGAATATTTATTTACTGATTCTAGACATTTCAGCTTTTCACTTTTAATTAATTTGTGAAAAAAATATAAAATCATAATTCCACTTTGACATTATGGGGTATTGTGTGTAGGCCTGTGACACAAAATCTTAAATGATCCATTTTAAATTCAGGTTGTAACACAGCAAAATGTGGAAAAAGTCAATGGGTGTGAATGCTTTCGGAAGGTACTGCAAATGGGCTTTTGCAAACAGTGATGATATGTGGCTTGAAGAAGTATCTTTAATTATTTGCTCTGTCAACTACTAACAAACTATTTCAAGAAGTGATAAGTCAGCTAACCATCCAATCTCAAGCCCTATTATGATTCATATCTGAATGTGAACTTCAGTTGTTTATTCACGTGTTGTTTATTTTCATACTTTTAGGACTTTACCATCTGGCGTCTGTTCATTTCAAGATGTGGCAGGTGACCACCAGAGATGGGAGACGGACATAACAAGACCTATAGGATGTTACTCAATAGCTAAAGGCTGACGATATCCATATCTGGAGAACATTGGATGAAAAAGAGTAGGATGAGTGAGGAGTCCGCAGCCAGCACAGTTTGGTGAAGAGTAGGAACGGTGACCAAGCAGCGACACGACCATCATGCCAACCACCCAGGGAACTGGAGGGGCTGGCAGCCCACGGGTTCAGCGCTACCGTCCGGCCTCGGAGTTTGACGACGCCACCCTTGCCCAGAAGAGAGAGTACTGGAGGACCAAGAAACGAGAGCAGAGGGCTAAGCTGTCAGAGGTCAAGAGGGAGAGGTCAAAAGCAACAAACCGAGGGAGTAAATCCTTGGGCAGCAATGCAGTCCATAAAACCTCAATGGGGTTGAATTCCAGTGCCTCTTGTTCAATAGCAGGGTCTGCCCCCCCTTTGTTGAAAAGTGATGGTTCCTACCAAACTAATGTCGGCGGTGCACCTGTAGTCCTATTGAAGGGAAAGGGTTCTGCTGTCTCCTATAATCAGAACCATAGTGTTGGGGAAGGGGGTCAAAACTATTCCTCAGCAAACCAAAAGCAGAGTTGGTTCCAGAGGATAAAACTCAACAAAGTCTTGCCTCAGTTTCCAACGTCCAGTGCAGGCCCAGGAAAAGGTGCAATGGTCTGCAAGATGGCAGTGAAAAGTTCTCCAACAGGGGGCGCTGTGATTGGAACAGTTACCTCAGCCAAACCCAATGGAGTGCTTCTCAACAGTGGCTCCTTTGTGCCTCCGGTAAGAGTGGCAGTGAGAGCCTCAGGCTCTGCACCTCGCCAACCACAGAGCGGAATTACTATTCTCAATGGCAGCTCTCCTGTAGTGTCATCTCAGCAGCATCTGGCCACCCAGAGTGTATCAAGGCCTGATGCAATGACAAAGACGCAAGTTACAGTGTCTGTTCAGCCTAGACCGCTAACCACTAACATTACCACAGGGAAGACCATTGTGACCACTCAGTCTGCCCCTGTGCTCGTTCACAAACCAGGGGTTAGGCCTAGAGGGATGAAAGTAACACCGCTAGGCGGGAAAAAGAGTGCATTGGTCGCAGCCCAAGGAGTTAGAAGCATCAACGACACATCAGCTACACTGGAGACTGAGGAGGAGCGAGCCGCCAAGCGCAGAGAGAATTGGCGTATCAAGAAAAGAGAACAGCGAGCGAAGCAAGCGGCTAGGTTAACAAAGGCCAGCAAGAGAATCACGAACATGGAGATATCGTTGCAGAAAGCAGAACTATTACCAACCGTGGACGTTGAACGTCCCCTGTCTGCTTTGAGCGGACATGGCCAGAGGCAGTGTGTTAGTAGGGTCAGTGCCCCGTTCATCTCAGCCGGACGCCTGCTGAAGAACGCCAGAGCAGTGGCTAGCATTGCTGTCAAAAGGGAGTCTGACGATTCAATCCTGGCTAAGCTAACCGCAGTCAACGCTAATCAACAGACCATTCAGCTAAGAGTAGAGAATCCACAGGAGGCTAAAGCAACAATGCAGACTGGTATCGCATCTAATATCATTGGTTATAAACCAGCAGGGGAACCAAGCAGAAGGCTTCCTGGTCCAGTGCAGTTTGCCAACGTTAGCCGAGGGATGGTCCGTTGTAGGACTCCGAGACAGAGGTTAATTGAAACCCAAAATAATTTCCTGGGTCAGAGAAATATGAGGAAGTCCCCCTGTCATGCCAAAGCCTTCACAACCCACAATGCACCCCGAGATGACCCAACAGAGACCCCTGAGCAGAGGGCGGCCCGGAAGCGGGAATACTGGCGTGTCAAGAAGCGGGAGCAGCGAGCCAAGCTGTCGGGCGAAGTGCGAGCTAAGATGAAGGAGAGGGATGCTCTGATGCAAAGAGTCAAGCGTTACCAGAGCATACTTGAGGATATGAGGAAGGCCAGAGCGGCGGGCTGCAACACACTGCCACAACCAACAGAAAATAGGCCTACTCACACCAACGCCTCAGAGACCATTGGAGGGTTCATCATGGAGGATGGTACATTGACCAATAACATTCCTCAAATTGATCTCACTACAGAAGAAAAAGAGACTGGGGGTGAAATTGGCAGCAGTAGTGGGATGCCTGTAAATAATTCATTTACCAACATTAACACACACCGCCAACACCAACTGCTTCCCAAACCTACTAGTGATACCTCTAGTAATGTGGTGTTAAGTCATCAAACACAGGACAACCCACCACCTCCTCTAATCCGCTCTGCTCAGTTTAAAGTCTCCTGTCCTCCCGTCGGCGTGTCAATCATGAAGCCTCCCAGGTTGGTTTCAATCAGACCGAGGACTGAATTTCGCAGCACACCGAAAAACCTCCAGAATTCTCACACAGTCTTCCAGCCCCAGAGTCATATCACCCTCACACATCCTCAAAACATCCAAAACACCTTTCCTGGTGTGCCTACAGTGATGCCAAAGCCGGCTAGCTGTGTCATGCAGATGGCTGTCAAAGCTTCTACAGCATCAGCAGTGCTTAACTTGGACCCAAAGCTAACAGAGGAAGAAAGTATGGCTAAGAAAAGGGAGTACTGGAGGGTAAAGAAACGAGAGCAGAGGGCAGCCCGTGCAATCCGCTTAAGGCAAGGAGTTCAAGCTAGGGGAAACGCTGCCTCACAGAAGAGGCGGAACCAAAGGTTAGCACGATTAGCCACAGCCAATCCCAATGTCAACACCTCTGTCAACCACACACTCACTATCAAGCCTCTCTCAAACACCAGTGTGTCCACGCCTCCACAGGGGAACCAAATAAAACAAGAGAGAGAATCAATCTCAACAGACGCTCCACTGGAACAACCACTCTGTGTTGATATCAAACCGTCCCGGTCTCCACCACATCCAGAGCCAACAGACCCAGCCTTGAGTGCTGACAGCCAGGCCACCACTCTCCTGGCAGTGGCCTCTATGAAGAAGCTCCTGGAGGAATCCCTCAGCACTGTGGCCGACTGTAAAATGGAACAGCCTGACTGTATTACAGAACAGCTGCCTTGTAAAAGTGAACCCCAGGCTTGTTCCACCGAGGAGAATGCCGTCCAGATTGAGGTCAAGCCAAATCTACCTCTGCTCACCCTGGGAGACGAGGAGAAGGCCTCCATATCTGGCGACCTATCGTTGGAGGTCAAAGGGTGGCAGGTGGATGCTGACGCCCCGCCACCATGTCAGGTGACCATTTGTCCATTGAGTCCTCATCCTAAGGACTCTCCCCTATCTAGTCCTTGCACTAAGACCCTCTCTTTCTCAGCTCCCCCTCTCACTCTGTCCGAACCCCCCTCTCACACACCCACACACTCCTGCTCCCACAAGGCAGCCTCCGGAGGACCACTCCTTCCTCTCCCTCGTAGAGCCCAGAGGTTGCGTGCCAAAAAGGCAGGCCACCACAACTGCTGCTCCCCAGAACTTCCGAAGCTACACCACCAGCCTCCACAACAACAACCACCTTACCAACTTCAAAATCAACAACAGCGTCAACAACAACATCAAAAACAACCCCAACAACAGCAGCAGCATCAGCAACATCACCACGCCCCAGCAGTGACAGACCAGAATGTGACTCTGCAGAAGAAGAGGGAGTACTGGAGGATGATGAAGAGGCAGCAGAGAGCCAGGAAGGCCAGGCAGGGAGGAGGCGGGCTGAGGCAGGGGGACTACAGCCGACGACTGGCCCTCAAAGCAGCACAGGTGGGGGGATATATTTTGTAATCCATGCTATTAGATTTCATCATAGTGCAGATTTCATGATTTACTATGGTAGGCCAATACCGATCATTTCAATTTAATTTTAGGTAAAAGTATATTTTGTGGTTATGTCAATTGGAATGTGGAACTGATGTATTTTGCAATGCGATACTGTACACAAGGCCACTGTCCAGTCTAACTGAAATACCATGAATTTCTCTCTGGCATTTGACACAAGCAACGAAAATAGAGGGAGAGGGGGAGGAGGTATATGGGTTCTGAGAACTGGACAAACTTAAAACAACCATAAACAAGTACATGTTTGTAAAGATAAACAAATAGATCAAATAACCCTGGTTATAAATTATATATTGTGACATTAAACTAATGTAAAGCTATGCATCGATTGTCTTGTCTTTTAGGCTCCGAATCTCCATATTGTCAAGACACAGACACAGAGGCCAGTGCAGAGAGGCGGGAGCTTCAGTCTACAAGCTGCACCATTTCTCAAACCACAGCCCTCCCCCCTTCTCCAGCCTATATCTCCCCCTGCCTCTGGACCTCAGACAAGCCTCAGTATGGTCACCAACATCCCTACACTTCTGGTTGTGAGCCCCACCACTTCCAACATTGGACAGCCATCTGATACACTACAGCTCAAACCTCCGGTCAACTGTACCAGTATTTCCAATTCATCCATTGGCCACACAGGGTCCCCCCAGACATCTCATAGCTTCAGTACCGCGTTTCTCCCTGTAGGAGGCAGTGTCACTGTCCCTCCATTGGGTGAGGGGAAGAAAGGCGGGCTTCTATTGGTGGAGAGCCAACAGGAAGCAGCCCCAGGGTCCAGCCCTGACTCGCCACGCGTCAGAAAATGGCGACTGCAAGTGCAGGAAAGCTCAGACGCAGACACCTCACCCATCGCTACTCTCACACCTCCGCCCAACCCTCTGACTAGCATCAAGCTCTTACCCATTCATCCTCCCAGTCAAACATCCACATTCCACACCAACACAGACCCCTTTCAAATGTCAAGGTGCTCAGATTCCTCAAAGTGGGAATGTACAAAATGTACGATTGCCTACAATGCAGGCGCTCAACAAAAGCCCCATCTACATAAGCTCCATGGGTCCGCCCAAGCCAGTGCCGGGGGAGTCGGAAGAGGAGACTCTGAGGAAGAAGAGGGAGTACTGGAGGGTGAAGAAGAAGGAACAGAGAGCCAGGAAGGCCATGAGGGACAGGGAGCTGACTGAGAAGAAGGCTTCGGTCAACTGGAGGTCCATCCTACCCAGCAGTCAGCCACAACACCTGCTGCAGGGGCTGGATACACAGGTAATTTTTACAATGGTGAATGTTTTAAAAAAAAAACACCATATAATATTCTAAGTCAGAACTATATGGTAAATCGTGTATTGATACCAAGGGGTGAGGATTCAGCCAACTTTCGTTCCTCTTGGTCAGTTAATTTCCATTAGGGCTGACCATAACTCTTTACATTTTTCTCAACCAAAGGAACATGATCCTGACCGGTGGGTCAACACCTCAGAGGACTCTGAACTACATCTAAGGTGAGAGAGTAGTTTTCAGGATCTCTCTGAAGTTTCTCTTATCTCAATGTGTATGTTAGTAGTAAACATTACTGTGATGTCTTTTTTTCCATAGGACTTCCACAGAGACAGACATGGGCTACTTTCCTGACCCAAGCCATACGGAACCTATAGAAGGTAATACATTTGAAACGTATAGATCCCTCAAACTCAACTCTGGTCCTCGAAGCCAGTTCCACTACATTTTTAAATTGTGTTTATTTTTATTTTTTAGAGCTCGGTCCAGCTTTCAATTTACTCATCCAAGTTGTAATAGTAGAATGCACAAGGTGCAATTTCTAAATTGGGTAGTGCATCATCAGTTTTCCTCCTGTCATGTCAGTCATTTCATACCTTAGAGAGCTATGTTCCCCAATGCTAGAAGGGGGGGGCCTGAGTGAAAAACGTTGGGAACCCGTCTTACAATACCACTCTCTTTCCCCCAGAGGAATCAGAGCTCCTTTTCCCAGACGATGATCATGACGACAACTACAACGGCCCCATCTCAGATGCTGTATGGAGGAACTGCTTCCTCATGGACTACGACCCCCTGAACCAGCTGCTGGTGTGCATGGTGTGCGGGGAGCCACAGTACTCCCACAGCCTGGAGGGGGTGAGGGCCCACATCGAGGAGGCTCACCCGGACACCCTGAGCCTGGTGCCCCCGGAGCGCCGGCACATCCTGGAGGCCTGGGACGAGCAGGTGTCCAGGAGAGAACTTTTCTTCACCAGCCAGCTGCAGCAGCACAGCGGGGCAACGGGAGGTAATAAGACACTATTATATATTAGAGGGCCCAGAGTTATTCCTGGTAAAGAAAGGCTCTGGTCCCTGGCAATGGGCACATTTGGGATTGAGGGTTTCTGACATATCCATGCACATTTTGTTTCAGGGGACAGTGCCAACCTGCCAGCAGAAGTAGAAGTAATGGTTGATACAGAGGACTCCTCATACCTGAAGAACAGCAAGAGCTCCAAAACCACCAAAAGACTCTGAAAGCTAAGGTGAGCATTTGTGCCTTCTTAACAGTACATTGAACTGACACCCTCCATGTCTAAATATCATAACGTTGACCACAGCTCTGTGTACCAAAGGGGGTATTCCTATCTGTCTGTAAGAACACATTTTTATTCAACATATTTCTGACATTGCACATCTTTTTTGACAAACTCCTACTTATTTGTCTTGATTTGCAGAAGCACAAATAGCTAAATGCCAGACAGCATAAAACAACATTGTCAGAAGAGGAAAATAAAACGTTACTGCTGGTTTCTTTAATGTCTGTTTATTTTTACAGAGCAGTTCACCTCTACAAAAGGATACACTCAGCTTGAACTGCATGCTTGTATATGGGTCATTGAACCACAAGAGACAAGCTTTACCTCATTAACTTTGGGATACACACACATTCGCTGTTTTTGAAAGCGCAGTTTTGTAGCGATTGTCATTCTCTATTACTAAAGCAAGTCTTCTATGCCCTAAGCAAACAGTTAATATTCATGATGTCACTAGGTTCTATAATGTCATTGTGCTTTATGAAACATCCTAAAGCAGACATGAGGGCTCTCCTAGTCAACAGTAATGGGTTAACATCCCTGTTTTATGTGCCCATGACAAACAGGTCAGTGAATGACAGGTCTTTGGTCTTACTCCTCAATGTATCAGGATCAATATGATGCAAGTTAGCGGACCTGTAAATTTGACTTGACCATGCGTCCTTTGAAATTGCCTACGGGTGATCAGTTGTTCGATGGTTGATATTTGTCTGTACATACATTTTTATAATTTCATTTTATATTTTTTCACAATTCCTATGTTTTGTTATTCAGAGGGATGTCCTTGCATGTGGGTATTTTAAATATGCCCTAAAAAGTAGAGATTTTTTCGGTCACACTTTAAACGAAGAACAACTTATAAAGCAGGGTTCCCCAACTGGCGTCCCACGGTTTTATTTGCCCCCCAAGTTTTCTGAGCCAAAAAAAATAAGTGTTGGACATAAGACTGTAAAAACACCAGCTCCGAGATTGTAATTTTGGAAATCTGTTCCAAAGTATTCCCACGCAGAAGAGAGATACACTACCGTTCAAAGGTTTGGGGTCACTTAGAAATGTCCTTGTTTCCGTTAAAATAACATTAAATTGATCAGAAATACTGTGTAGACATTATTAATGTTGTAAATGGCTATTGTAGCTGGAAACTGCAGATTTTTTATGGAATATCTACATAGGCGTACAGAGGCCCATTATCAGCAACCATCAGTCCTGTGTTCCAATGGCACGTTGTGTTTGCTAATCCAAGTTTCATTTTAAAAGGCTAATTGATCATTTTGATCACCCTTTTGCAATTATGTTAGCACAGCTGAAAACTGTTGTGCTGATTAAAGAAGCAATAAAACTGGCCTTCTTGAGACTAGTTGAGTATCTGGAGCACCAGCAATTGTGGGTTCGATTACAGGTTCAAAATGGCCAGAAACAAATAACTTTCTTCTGAAACTCGTCAGTCTATAATTGTTCTGAGAAATGAAGGCTATTCCATGCGAGAAATTGCCAAGAAACTGAAGATCTCGTACAACGCTGTGTACTACTCCCTTCACAGAACAGCGCAAACTGGCTCTAACCAGAATAGAAAGAGGAGTGGGAGGCCCCGGGGCACAACTGAGCAAGAGGACAAATACATTAGTGTCTAGTTTGAGAAACAGACACCTCACAGGTCCTCAACTGGCAGCTTCATTAAATAGTACCCACAAAACACCAGTCTCAACGTCAACAGTGAAGAGGCGACTCTGGGATGCTGACCTTCTAGGCAGAGTTGCAAAGAAAAAGCCATATCTCAGACTGCCCATCTTAATCTTTTCTTTTTATTGGCCAGTCTGAGATTTGGCTTTTTCTTTGCAATCATTGGAACACAGGACTGATGGTTGCTGATAATGGGCCTATGTAGATATTCCATTAAAAATCAGCCATTTCCAGCTACAATAGCCATTTACAACATTAACCATGTCTACACTGTATTTCTGATCAATTTGATGTTATTTTAATGGACAAAAAAATTGCTTTTCTTTCGAGAATTTCTAATGACCCCAAACTTTTGAACGGTAGTGTATATGCGATCATATACAAATGTAAACAAGGTTCAAGTCATCTGTAAGCGTATGTCATACTCTATAAATGGTGTACAAACATACATAGTGCGTTATGTCACATTTGGCAATTCACCCTACAGTGGGAATTGTCACCCTTTATAGAGTATGACATACGCTTATAGATGATTTGTGAAGCATTTATTTAGTGCTTATGAAGCCTTTGTGTATGCTATATGTTGCACTTTGTTCAAAGTGGGACCGATTTTTCTAGCCATTATACTTTACAACACTGAATCTTCAAAATACTCCTGACACATTTTTTTTTAACGGTTTTCGTAAAACGTTGTTCTAGAATGTAAAAGAAGACTTCCTTTTTGAACATTTAAGTTTTTGTAATGGTGATTTATGACATGTATGCCTGCACTGTAAATACAACATTTATGTTTAAAAGGGGTGGTTAAATGTTAATACCCTTAATGTATTATTTGATTGCCTATGAAAATAAGCCTATCCCTTTATGGTTAGTGGTACGTACTCATATTGCTTCTGATTTGATCAATATTTCCTTGTCTATACATACTGTGTACATTAACTCTTTTTTCAATGTATTTATTTGGTCTGAACAATCAGTCAGTGACACATGACTATTTAATTTGTATTTAATATATCTTTGATTAAACAATCAACTATCAGCATATTTTTCTCAAATTACTTCTAACAACAACAAAAGTATGATCCAATGGCGTGCTGCTTGGATGTGGAGTGATAGACATTTATACACTTCCTATATGTATCAGAAATCATGTGGCAGACATTTTCATTTGCAGTGTTTTTGGTTCACCAATATGCTGAAAATAATGTTAAATAGAGCACAGTTTGTCTTAACGGACTGAAAATGCATTGAAAACAGAATGTACTGTGATAACTTTTTCTTGTACAGTTGTCAGAAACTTTAAATGTACAGGGGACACTGACCAAGCTGTACTATTTTACCTGTTGAGAATGTACCACTTTGAATTGGTTCCTACCTTGTTTGTTTTAAAGGGAATGTTCAAATGCCTTTTTAGGTACTAATAAACCCTTTCGGTAACTTTAAAGTGGTTCTATGATTTAATGGGAGGTAGGTGTTATCAAGTAGGGTGGGCTGGGCAAGGCCTGTGAAACAAAACAAAAAACTTGTTCGATATGTTACCATCCATCTTACAAGACATACAAAAGACAACAGCTATAAAGTAAATAATTTATTGTTTTGTGTTGATTTGAGACTGTCTTGACACACAGTGCAAATTCAAAGTTCCTTTAAGAGTCTTATCAAAGGCATTCTTACAGCAACATTAAATGAGTTGAGGGCATCAGGTTACATGCGTATATATTCTCTACAGTATTTTTGGAATAGCTCACATAAGCTTAGTTTCTTGAAAGATCATACATGAGTTGATTATAGGTGGGTACTTTATAATTAGGTATTAAATCCACTTTAACTTAAAGACATTCTATGATTACCAGATTTTATGATGAGGGCCAGAAGTGACCTGACAAGGAAGAACTCCTAGTTATGATAAATGCACTGTGATAGAAAGCTAGCTCTCCAGGTAATCTCTGGTAGTGAAATGGGCTGTATCTTAGTCCTGTAGTTGTTCACTGCTTCACTCCCTGGCTACGCTGATGCTCCTCCTCCACAACAATATCTGGCTCTACCTCCGTCTGTGTCTCTGTCTCCTCTTCGCCCTCCTCCCTGTACACGTGGTCTGGGTCTGCCGCTCCCTGGAGCTCCCTGGGGCCGGCCTCCAGGCGGAACAGGGTAGGGACGCGGCCCAGGATGGGGTTGGTCTCCTGCAGGCCTGAGATCCATTGGTTCAGGGTAGCCTGGTCTCCCTGGCTTGTCATACACATGGCGAACACCGGCCCTTCATCCACTGCAGAAAACAAAGACGTATACGGTCTATCACTTACTGTACACCACTGCACCTCACATAATGTCCTGTATGAATTATTACAGCTGTGCCCAGCATAAATTTAGTTTGTGAGATATCTAAAGCTTTGTTGAATTGAACTCATTAGTTCCTAGGTGTTTTATCTTACCGTCTTCCACGTCGAAGCTGTCGTCGTCCCCCATGTCCCGGTCCAAGTCCAGGTCCAGCTGAAGAGGGTAGTCGAAACACCTCTCAGGATCGTACGGCTCCTCCACCTGACAGGCAGAAAACAGGTACGGTAATAAATCAACCGTTACTGCTCAAGGTACAATAAAACTAAAACATACAATAATGCTATTGCAATAGTATGGAACAGATACTACTTAGGCAATATTCATAATCAAAATTATAACACTGTAAATGCTACCGTTAAAATATACACCATTATTTACAAATATACAATGTTATCATCCCTTTGGCTTTGACAGAGTTGCACAGGGTCTCCCACCTTCTCCTCAGGGGGCAGTGGGTCAGCCCTGAGTATGTAGTAGTAGACACATATCTTTCTCAGCCACAGGGGGAAGGGGCCCTCCACAAACACAGGCCTGTTGGGGTTATGTTTAGCCAGCAGCTCCATCTGGTCTGGGCTCTGGATCCCTAACACGGGGGAAAGAGCAGAGAGGTAGGAATTAACATTGAGAGAACAGACACTCCGTTTATCATATGTTTGCATCCTCTAATACAGGGGTGTCAAACTCTATCCTTGGAGGGCCTAGTGTCTGCTGGTTTTTGGTTTTTCTTTCAATTAAGCTCTAGACAACCAGGTGAGGAGAGTTCTGTACTAATCAGTGACCTTAATTCATAACTCAAGGACAAGGGAGGAGTGAAAACCTGCAGACACTCGGCCCTCCGTGGAATGAGTTTGACACGTGCTCTAATATCATTGTTAACCTAAATATTTGCTGACCACAAAATACGAGCTATATCAACTGAAAACCCTGCAACTAAAGAGAATCGGAGAAAACCTTGGATTTGGATCTGAGTTTGTATGTAAAAGGAGAGGGAACTTTGATTATCTACCTACGACGTGTGGAAAGGTGATCTCCTCTCCTGACTCAGAGATGTCGGTACAGGGCATCTGGTAGACGGTGACCTTAGCGTCCAGGTCGTTGGCGATGCGGTTGAGACTGAGGCGGGCCAGATCTACAGGATCCTCAGGGAGCTGCAGGGGGACGGGGAAGGGGTTGGCATGCTTGAACTTGGGGAACCAGTACATGATGCGCTGGTACTTCCTCATTGGGTGGCTCTTGTCCCCGAAGATCTGGACAATCAGGACCTTACTCTCGACGTTTGGCATGATACCTGATGACACAATTTTTTAAATGAATGACAAAAAGGGGTCTGTCTATAATAATACACTAGCTACTTATTTTAATGGTTTGAGAGACACTGTTCTGAAAAACTGTTGGCCAAATCTCTCACTCACAAGCTCCCTCCCCACCCACCATAGTTCTCCATCTGTTCCAGCAGTTGCACCCCACACTCCTGCTGTCGGGGGTAGTGGTTGAACATGCGCTGGATAAAGTTCCTTGGCACAAACACCTCCTTGGGAAAGACATCCAACAGCTTGTTGTAGACTGTAAGGTCCCGTTCCACACCAAACTCTGGCATCTTCTTCAAGGCTGCGTATATGAACTCTACGTGACCCCGACGCCGTATGTCCCTCTTACGGAAGACATCCACCACTCTGTTGAAGGTGGCCTTAGTCTTGGCCTCCCTGGCCACCCTCTCAAACAGGTCATCATGAGTGATCAGTGACTTGTCCTTCTTAATTCGATCCTCATGCTCTTCACCAGGGTTTGTGGGTACGGGCTGGCTCTTATAACATCCAGGGCTGCCATGGAAACGCCTGAGTGCCTGTTGATGACGAGGAAATACATTGACGAGGAGATACAAGCAGTCAACATAGTTCAACAAAATGCATAAAAAGGGTAACTTGATATCGTAGTCATCCTAACCCTACGGTTGAGGATAATGATCATCCATCATTATCAACTCAAAACAAACGGCCATGTTGATGTGATTACCTGGGAAACTTCATAAGGGTTTCACCCTTGGTCCCTTTCAGACAATTTTTTGTGCAGTGTGAAAACTCCAAAGGAACTCAGACCCCTCAAAAGAGCCCCTGAAGCGAACTGAACTGAGACCATCTCGAAAGGTGCTCTGAGTTCAGTTTGCTTGAATTTCGCGGTCCGGTTGCCTTTTTTAGGGCAATGTGAACACAAAGCTCCCCAGGTTCGCTTGTGATTATTCCCACACCACACACTAGGCTACTGCAACACCGTTCCCCTGCCATAACCCCTCACATTGGTGCCACAAAAGAGAGAAGATGATGATGATGTGCAGGTTTGCGGAAAAAACGTGTGCTGTTTTTTTGGACATTGATTAACGATTTTCAAGGATGCACAGAAATTCCAAAAAATGTGGAGCTCTTAGTTCAAGATTATTTGTTTGCAATATGTGATCTATAGTATAGGCTAAGAGAGCTTCATAAGCTGTTTATTCAATTGTGGGGTTTGAATAGTGTGAGAAGACAACATAATTCATGAGAATCACAACAGGGTACAAAATCAATTCTAGCTCTTAAAGGGGCAGTAGCCTACATTGGGTGTAAAATGTTCAATTACAGCATTATTTAATCTGCAGTTATTCTTCTGCCATTTATTCTGTTACCAATAATATTGACATGTTAATATTATCTTCTGATTACAATTATGTCTAATCTTTTAAATAAATGCAATCTATTAGCTTCCAAAATTCAAGTAGGTATAGCTAGCTGTCCGTTCTGAAGGAATGGTTTGTCCTACACTTTGTAAAAACCCAGAGTGCATTGAGTGAATTTTGGGAAAAGATTTTGGTTCCATTCTAAACATAGCAATGTGAATTCAAAGAGGACTCGAACCACAAAATAGGTGAAGTGAACTAGCTAGAGTTGAGTCCCCATTTAAAGGCAAGGGCAATGTGAATACAAAGAGACCTGAGATCTTTAGCTTCTTCTTTTTTTACCCCCGGAGTTTACTTTAAAGAGGACTATATTTGAAAACAACCCTAGGGAGTGACTTACCTGACCACATGTGTTGTGTACTGTTATTAGGGACAGTGCTGTGGCTGGCTTAAGCAGGGCAGCATTCTGGACAGATGCTCTGACAGAAGGGGCCAGGAACCCTAGACTCTGGAGCCGTAGTAGACAGCGGGCACAGTTCATAGTACATGCATCATGTGGATCCTAAGAGAAAATAGTGACATGATTAACAAGATAAGCAGATGGGACAAATAGTACAGGGACACTTATGAATCTGCATCAATATGAATATTGTTACAACTTGCAAACACATAAGCGTAGTCTGCTGATCAATCTCTGTGGTTTTGAGGGGTGCATGACACGATCATAGACTGTAAAGGAGACAACTGACATACTGAGGAAAGCTAGCAAACTAAGTATTTATCTTCACGCTAGCTATAAGTAGCCATGTTCAATTTATTAATGTGACAGTTCAACTTGTGTGAGACAGAAGCTCGATACTTACACAGGGACGTAAAAGGGTGAGGTTAATCTCCTTTGTATCAAATCTCCTTCAGACATGTCTCTCCATGGGCACCTCCATGTTGAAACCGCTGCGGTATAAGAACCAGAGATACGACAGAAAGCATGAGATAGGAATCACATTGGTCAATGAATGGAGAACGTATAACGCCCCACCCAGCAGACCTGTCGACCAATCGCGTTCACGTTGTCATGCTGCGTCACGCAGTTGCTAAGCTAATCGTCATGCAAATCCTTTCTCAGAGTCAGGGTATGAGACGAGAAACCTGCCTATTTTTCTCTAAAGTATGTCATGTCGCGATTCAAAAGCTATACGATATTACAGAGAACAAGTTAATTATCTCACATCTCGGAAAATATTTCTAATGTTGTACTTCTTGTTCACGAAATTCATGCTAATGTTGGGTTTTTGAGCTAACGCCCAATTGACTACCATTCACTTCTTGAAGGAGAGCTCTCCTTGTCCCAGAATCACCCAGAATGCAACGCGGGCCCATTGACGACGCATGGGCAACGTACACAATGACCGTTGATACGAGCCAATACATCCTCAAAAGTGTTTCTGTAAGAATCAGGCTGCATTTCCTGTTTCAACCGCGTTTTCATTCCCCCATAATAACAGAAACAAGGACGCCGACTTCCTTTCCGCCATCATGTGGGCGTGCAGTACACAAACACGCCACCAGGTGGCAGGAAATCTCTGTGAAAATAAAATAAATCAGTTGAACAGAACTTTTGGATGACAGGGGGTGTAACTAATAGTTTATGTATACACTAGATGACAATTTGGGGGCACTGTGTTGAAGCCACCTCACCTCCATCTTGGCACTCCCTTGTAAAAAATAATAATTGGAAGCTATAAAAATTCAACTTATTAATGTCTACATTCGTTTCTGCCATGTTTATTCTATTACAGACAGTTTTACATTATATTATGTGAGCTAAACACAAATAAAAAATAAAATACAAATATTTACAAACTAAAGTATAATTTTTTTAGATGACTAATGTAACTGTCCCCACTACAACAACAACATACTTAAATACATGTAATTTTGTATATGAAACATTTAATTGAAATACTGTAGATTTGCATTCATTCCTATGGAGGACTGCTCCTACTGGGGAGTGCCAATATGGCCGACCGATGTCTTCAAATCCTCTCAATGGCCAATACATAGCGTCAGCAATCCAGAGTTTATATACATCATTAGGTGTGTTACAAGTTTCAGTAAGGAGCATATTATTACATGCACATGTAGTCGTAGAAAAACAAGCGGATAGTTAACCCATCCTTTTCTTCAGGCGCATATTTTTGGCAATTCTAGTGCATGTGAATCTATTGAGCATTTGCCCACCCGATGCTCAGCTCATTTCCTGGATTTATGTACAGTAAGTATTTGAGTAAATTTTTTAGGCCAATCCTCTCTAGCAACTGCGTACGTTCGTTGCCATGCATGCCTCCTCTCTTTTCTCAAGAAAGAACTTCAGCACGAGTTCCCGAGTGTGACTTCTGACACCCTCAGGTAAAGCAGCGGCATACAGGATGGAAAATACACCAAAAAACAAACTTCACTACTAGAAAACAGTAAATAACTCCTGGACAATCAATCATGGATGGTTCTACGAATAGTCTAGGTAAGTCAAGCATCTAAAATCTTATTTTTAGTCAACTCTTTATTTATTAAATTTTGAGTAGACTACACAGTAAATTGGCCTGCGTTACCTAGTTTTGATTTTTAAGTGTAAAATTTCTAGTGTTGATGGTGTAAATAAAAATAACATCAGTGTAGGCCCATTGCAACTGTTTTTTTAAATCTCAATATCAAATAATTTCTGCGTAACAATTAAGTACCTTACTGTGATAGTTTTCAATTAAAATTGTCAAAAAGAAACAAAAATAGCTTCTTAGCTAAATGCTATTTCTCAAGCAAGAATTTTGCTGGGACTTCCTGGGCGTGGTCTGAGAGAGGGGCCTAATTGGAGGAACCTAATGGGAGGGATGTGTAACCTGAAAACTAGCTGTTATTGACAGAGAGGAGGGCAAACTCTCTATTAACTTATACAGGCGGTCCAAAAACCCCACCCAGCAAAACAAGCTAACATTTCAGGCAGTCTTTTCAAACACCTCTTAAAGTGCATTATCATAATTTTCACAATTACACAAAATTATTCAAACCTAATGTGGAAATATATATATGTGGTCCTCTGTAGCTCAGCTGGTAGAGCACGGCGCTTGTAACGCCAAGGTAGTGGGTTTGATCCCCGGGACCACCCATACACAAAAATGTATGCACGCATGACTGTAAGTCGCTTTGGATAAAAGCGTCTGCTAAATGGCATTTTTTATTTTTTTATTTTTTTATTTTATATAAAACACAGGACAATTAAGTTTTTGACTGCGTTGCCCCTTTAATAACCAGAGTTGAACCAAAACCACGGCCATCATTATCATATTTCCCAGCATACTCTATTGCAGGTTGATTTTTTTGAATTGTTTGTTTCAATGTCTAGGCCTATGTTTTTGCATGCGCATTGATTAATTAATTATGCTACTCAAATATAAATAACACAATTTTCTAAACTAATCCTATCTGTTACTAGGCCTTATTGCACCCATTACTGAAACACTTTAGATGATTTACGTAGTCTAATACACTGCATGGCCAAAAGTATGTGTACACCTGCATGTCAAACTTCTCATTCCAAAATCATGGGCATTAATATGGAGTTGGTCACCCCTTTGCTGCTATAACAGCCTTCACTCTTCTGGGAAGGCTTTCCACTAGATGTTGGAACATTGCTGCGGGGATTTGCTTCCATTCAGCCACAAGAGCACTAGTGAGGTTGAGCACTGATGTTGGGCAATTAGGCCTGGCTTGCAGTCAGCGTTCCAATTCATCCCAAAGATGTTCAATGGGGTTGAGGTCAGGGCTCTGTGCAGGCCAGTCAAGTTCTTCCACACCGATCTCGACAAACAATTTCTGTATGGACCTCGCTTTGTGCACGGGGGCATTGTCATGCGGAAACTGGATCCTTCCCTAAACTGTTGCCACAAAGTTGGAAGCACAGAATCGTCTAAAATGTCATTGTATGCTGTAGCGTTAAGATTTCCCTTCACTGGAACTAAAGGGCCTAGCCTGAACCATGAAAAACAGCCCCAAACCATTATTCCTCCTCCACCAAACTTTACAATTGGTACTATGCATTGGGGCAGGTAGCGTTCTCCTGGCATCCGCCAAATCCAGATTCGTCCGTCGGACTGCCAGATGGTGAAGCGTGATTTCATCACTCCAGAGAGCATTTCCACTGCTCCAGAGTCCAATGGCGGCGAGCTTTACACCACTCCAGCCGTCGCTTGACATTGCGCATGGTAATCTTAGGCTTGTGTGCGGCTGCTCTGCCATGGAACCCATTTCATGAAGTCCTGACAAACGTTCTTGTGCTGACGTTGCTTCCAGAGGCAGTTTGGAACTCGGGAGTGAGTGTTGCAACCGGGCAGACGATTTTTACGTGCTACGCGCTTCAGCACTCGACGGTTAAATAAAAAAGTAATTTGCATCATCAGCATATTGAAACATAGGTTGTTTATTAGCTTTAGAGTATCCCTACCACGATGCATGAACCCCTCAATAACCCCAACATCTGGGCCCCAAATGAACTCAGCATTGTTTTAAATGGGGGCAAAAGTCAGTTTAGGGTGTTATACTAATTGTTCATGCCTCCCTTTTTTCATTGGCATTGGTTATTTCTAGCGCCTTGACAATGAAACTTTTACTGGTTCTATAATGTTGGAGTACAATGGGAGCCATTGTGGCACATCTGTTACTGTCCCACCTCATGTTAGACGGGCCTGGACATGTACTGGCTTAAGCAGGGGGACACGTCTGGCACTGCAGGATTTGAGTCCCTGGAGGCCGTAGTGTGTTACTGATGGTAGGCTTTGTTACTTTGGTCCCAGCTCTCTGCAGGTCATTCACTAGGTCCCCCCGTGTGGTTCTGGGGATTTTTGCTCACCGTTCTTGTGATCTTTTTGACCCCACAGGGTGAGATCTTGCGTGGAGCCCCAGATCGAGGGAGATTATCAGTGGTCTTGTAGTCTTCCATTTCCTAATAATTGCTCCCACAGTTGATTTCTTCAAACCAAGCTGCTTACCTATTGCAGATTCAGTCTTCCCAGCCTGGTGCAGGTCTACAAATTTGTTTCTGGTGTCCTTTGACAGCTCTTTGGTCTTGGCCATAGTGGAGTTTGGAGTGTGACTGTTTGAGGTTGTGGACAGGTGTCTTTTATGCTGATAACAAGTTCAACCAGGTGCCATTAATAGACGTAACGAGTGGAGGACAGAGGAGCCTCTTAAATAAGAAGTTACAGGTCTGTGAGAGCCAGAAATCTTGCTTGTTTGTAGGTGACCAAATACTTATTTTCCACCATAATTTGCAAATAAATTCATAAAAAATCCTACAATGTGATTTTCTGGATAATTTTTTCTCAATTTGTCTGTCATAGTTGACGTGTACCTATGATGAAAATGACAGGCCTCTCTCATCTTTTTAAGTGGGAGAACTTGCACAATTGGTCACTGACTAAATACTTTTTTTCCCCACTGTATATGTGGTCCTCTGTAGCTCAGCTGGTAGAGCACGGCGCTTGTAACGCCAAGGTAGTGGGTTCGATCCCCGGGACCACCCATACACAAAAATGTATGCACGCATGACTGTAAGTCGCTTTGGATAAAAGCGTCTGCTAAATTGCATTTTTTAATTTATTTTATTTTATTTTATATAAAACACAGGACAATTACGTTTTTGACTGCGTTGCCCCTTTAATAACCAGAGTTGAACCAAAACCACGGCCATCATTATCATATTTCCCAGCATACTCTATTGCAGGTAGATTTTTTAGAATTGTTTGTTTCAATGTCTAGGCCTATGTTTTTGCATGCGCATTGATTAATAAATTATGCTACTCAAATATAAATGACACCATTTTCTAAACTAATCCTATCTGTTACTAGGCCTTATTGCACCCATTACTGAAACACTTTAGATGATTTACGTAGTCTAATACACTGCATGGCCAAAAGTAT